AACAATTTTCGGTCACTGTGCTCTTGTAGATTAACTTTTTAGGCTGTACAAAATATAAATAAGTCAAGTCAAAAAATTTCAGTTAGGCTACTCTGCCTCTAGCGGCCGCATATTATTTTGACTTAAAAAAAATGAATAAAAAAATCAAATGTTGACAAAAGAGAGTATTACTTTTAGTCCCGTTTTACTGTTATAAAGACTTAGTTGCACTTTATAAGGCATACATAAAGCGCTTTTAACAATAATGAAACAGTCGGAACAAATAAAACAAAAAAAAAATCGTAGGAAAGTAAAGTAGACAGACCGAAGTCTGGACAGTTATTCAACGTCTCTGCGACAGTTAATAGCTTTCAGAAAGTCGATCTCAATTTTAATTGCTCTTTCTATGTTGGAGTGACTCGCGTGTGTGTCACATGGTTTGATGCGGATTGAGATAACGAACTTCTGTGGGCACATATTACGACACTGCGTACTTAATTAAACTTCCATCGACTTATTATACATACAACTTAGTAAATCGTTTTCTTTTATTAACATTTCAATAAAATACGTTAGTCTGATGGGTTCCTTGGTCCAATGGTAGCAATGTGTGGTTAAGAATCAACCGGTCGTGGGTTTGATTCCCTTGGGTTGTTAAAAATCTGGATATTAAATTGGTGATAGGGAAATTTAAATTCTTTACGGGTTGTATACCACCATCCAGAGTTGGAAAGGTCGTAAAGCGTAATCGCGTTTCGGTTTGAAACCCAAAGCCAAAATAGGGCGGCATCTCATCTCGTTAAGATGTTATACAGGGTGTTACCTTACGAATGTCCTCTTTGTCTGTCTTTCTATGTAATTAGAAAGACCAAACAAAAAAAATCGCCATCCCATTGGCATAGACGAATACATAATTGATACATAATATTTACCCCAAAGCCAAGAGTATAGTCAGTACAAACTATTCACGAAATATGTTTTAGTTCAACCTAAATTAACTCGTATTAATAAAGTTCTTATTCCTGGTATTTCCTATGTGAGAAATTTAGTTAGTAGTTAAATTAAGCACCACGCTTTGTAGGGTACTAATGGAGTAATTTCCGGCGACTTGTAATTAAATTTTGAGGTTAAGGGTCCTGCCTTTTGCTTCGACGATTATAGTTTGCGGTTCTGAGCGAAGATGGAAATTGTGTCGAGCGAAGATTAGTTTCATATTGCGTAACTTTGAAAACGAGTAACTAATAACGAGGCCCGGAAATTAATAGTAAAGATAATACTTATAAATATGCTAAATAATCTACCAAATTCTTAGCTTAGACTTAAGCATTAGAGGATCTAGGTTCGAAAGATGTTTAATCACAATTAGAGCAGCAGCACGGAACGCGGATGCCGGTTCAAGTCCCGCCCGAGTCGTCAATTTTTTTGTCTATCTAAATAGATTTTCAATCTAAAATGTGTTTATTAGAGAATTAAGAATTGTATAAGGAACAAAACAAAATAATTTGACCCGTTAAATCAACATACTTACATTACGTAGTGTGTACGAGCTAATGTACACAAGTGTACATTAGCTCAATAACTTAATTTTTTTATTTGCTTAACCTATTAAAAAAGTAAGAGCAACATTTATTTATACAACAATTTTATTTATAATTTAAAGTTAAAAAAATATATACTCATATTTCCGTCTTTGTGCTACGATATAAAACAAATTACTGTAACTAAAATACTACTAAAGGACTATTTAGAAGCTGTAAAGATAGAAACTGTAAAAAGTCATAGAACTAATCATTGTTGTAAATTAAAGAAACATCTTTTCGTGTAAAGTAAGAAGAGATATCATAGTTATTTAATTTCATCATTATCACTAAAATTAATTCTCCTGGTTTTTATGCACGACAGCTGATTGCAGCTTCACACCTGTAAAATCGGATATTTATGGTTGTTTCGTCTCAAGCTGCATTTTACACCTGTCTTGTAGTACACGCCTAATTTGAACTAATTAGATTTCAAATTGCACAAAAAGAGCCTATGTTTATGTGTACCAGAAATGTAGGAAATCATTGTATTTAATTGATGTATTAAATAGGTTTAATAGCAATAATTTATACATTTCCTAAATGGCTTCTATATTGTATATATTTTTAAAAAATAAAAGTCTTTTTATGTTGAAAATGAGAAAATCATCGAAATAAGCGGGACTTGTATCGGCATTATACAGCAAAAGAACTAACTAACTACAAACGAACATGTGAAATATATTAAGATTCCTAGATGTCATATATATTTCATAACATATACGTACATTATGAAATATTTTCTTAATGTAGTTATTAAACCAACATTTAAGTTATTTTGTTATATTCCTTGTCTTGTTAAATAAATCGGTTGACTTTGAGTTTGAAATGAAAAGAGATTCTGACTTAAATTTAATTTCATTCTAATAGTCCACTATAACATAGCCACCATCATACACGATAATATACTATATATGTGACGGGCTACGACGGCGGAAGCGATATATAAACCCTTAACCCGTCATTATAGTCTCAATAGGATTTCATTGATCCACTGTAAATAATAATAAAAAAATTCTCTTGTTGCAGGTACTGAATCGCGCCTAAAAACCCCGAAGTCGAAGAGCTCTAGCTAGATGTAGCGTGTATTTTGCTTCTTTCTTATTACTTTTAAGGCGTCTCTCGGCTTCTCTGGGCGTATTTACCATTGTATTTGTGACCCAGATCCGGCGCATTTACTTACCGAGAACATTGTTGAATATTTCAAATGCTTGTGTGACGTTTTGGATGCATCTTGAATTATATGCTCTAGTTTCTACTGAATTTCATTTTAGATAAGGGCAAATTATTATACTGTGTGACAAGATCTGTGACGTCACATACAAACATTACTTAAATGTAGGATATTGGAGCTCTGACTTAAATTGGGAAACGTGTGACGTCACGGTCACGGTTCATTTATTATTGCATTATTTTGTTAAAAGGCTTGAATTGATTCTCGTCAGTTTCTATAGACAAAATACGATATCTCGTTTAGATGTTAGTGAGGTGATTCACCTTTTATATAGTGAATTCTATGCTGTCTGTCATAAAAACGTAACCTAAATTATTTAAATCAACTTTTAGTTAAACTGTATGTGACACGATGAGAACATAACTCATACCGTCGAATGCAAAACGTTTGAATGTGAAATAAAATTGAACTGAATATATTTAAAGTTTCCGGTATAAATTCACTTAATGTCGGACACGTTTCAGTGCAAGCTGCAAGTCGTTCGTATTTCATACACTATTTGCCTATTTGTATAGGATACGGGTCGGGTTTAAATGATAAGCGGAAGCGGGTATAAATTACTTAAATACATTAATTTCTATAAACGTTTTTTTTTAGATAGAGGGTGTCCTTATTGTCGAAGTAAAAGTTACTACGCTAGCATATAGTCATTTCGCGTTATAAACCGTTATAGATGTTTTATTTAAATGTGTACAACTTGCGTAATTTACAGACAGTACTTAAAGAAACACGTAATATGTTTATTTGTTATTGCCGCGGAATTTCTTTCTATAACGATCCAAAACAGGAAAGAGCTTGAACAACTATTAATCACAGCCACAGAAAAGTGTCTGCCGCATGCCCCACCAGTTTCAATCAGAGGAGAATATTATTGACTACGTGACTACGCCTAATGCGGGCCGTTGATTTGCAAGGAACGATATCCTGCCCGTTGTATAGCTATTGAAAATCAAACGAGTACATACCGCGCGTTCGAGTGCCGACGGCTATTCAGACTTGCCGTGTTCGCAATTCAATAGAAAGTTCTATGTTTCCAAGTTAATACCTGTGATGGAAACTAGTAACTGGTGCAGTATATTCTAATATTACTGCCATTTGTTAAATATTTAAGGGGTCTTATTTAGGTGTTTTTATAATGGGTGACAATTAATTTATGGTAGAAGAGGGCGTAGAAGCATAAAACTCACTTGATGGTGGTACCCCAGCCATACAACATCTAAACAAGATTCTCTGTCGACATATTTTGGCTTCGGATATTCGGAAATCTAGACATAAACTTGAGGGCTTCTTGATCTGTGGACAGAATTTCAATATTCCTAACACCCTTTCCCCGTATAACATTGCCATCTGTCAGTACCACAGTGCCACATGACAAGTGCTGAGACGTTGAACATGTGCTGTTGACCGATTTTGACTCTGTATATTTCAAAATCCACAGACTGAAACAGTAACACGGTACAGGGCTTTGCCATCTGTGATTGCTAGATATTCTCACTACCCAATGATTACAATCTGATTTTAGAAACATGTTATCAGCCACACGATGCTTACATTAGACCGTGAAATATCAATTTTAGTAATGTGTGATATATTAAATTACAACTCAAAGCTGAATTCTGCGAAGGTGTCAATACATGACCTTGGATACAAAAATACACAGCGTCGTTGAATATTGCTTTCTATTATTATGGAAACTCAATATCACCCATTCGCCTCTTCCAATAACTACGTGCCGTATCGAATATTTCCACGAACGAATTACATAGCGCCAACGTGTTAAACCGATAATATTCTTTTGAGCCTTTGCGGTATTGCAATGGGGGGATTTTGATTTTCGACGGGTCTTACATAAAAAGGGTAACATTACATAACATCGCTTTTAATAATAGGTAGTTAATTTTACTTGCATGTTTTTATATACATTTTACTAACGTCAATTAAGTTTGGGAGAAGAAAATTTTAAATATAAATAGATCACTTAACTGTTTAAAATGCGAAATGTATTAGTAAAATAAATTTTAATGTATAACGTTAACTCAAAAAACTCGCGTAAACTACAGTCTCAAGTTGATTTAATTTTACTATAGTTAGTAAATATATTATCATTATCAAAATCTTGGAATATCAATGAAATCAATAATTATGTTTATATTTTTTACCAATGAATTTAATCGTAATAATAATCAAATCATCGCATATAATTTTTAAGACTAATGTCTGTACCATGTTTGGCACATGCGCATGCGTTTCACCTTCTTAGCCAGAAGTAGCATTCCGTATAAGAGAGCTTCAGCTGTCGGCGGGCAACCTGGCACATAGATATCGACCTGGAATGGAAAGTTTTTATTTAGATAAACATTTAACGATTTGAAACGCGAATAATAACTTATTTTTAACTACGACCTGACGTTTCGCATTATATTATAATCAGTTATACATTATACATCACAGAAAAGAGATAAAATATTTTTTTTTTCTTGTCGGTGCATCTATTTTTGGCATCACTTACACAGAAATGACAAAATCGACTTTGAAAAATATGACAATAAAATATCCTTTAAACACAACAAAGATGTGTCATCTCCAAGCGAATCAAGCTAATCGAAGCCGCCACGTTAAATGTGAAACGGGAAAACAGTTGCTTCTCGGAAGGAAAGGAAATTCCAATTAAGAGCCGAGTGAATTGTACTAGACTAGAGCTTACTCAGAACAAATTGCAAACGTTGAGCGTGGCTCTTGTAATTAATTAAAAATCCGCGCTTGTCTACTCCTTAGATTTATTGTTCTCGTAATAGATCTTTTAGAAACTCTACGATCTTGTCTACTTGTCATTAGTCTGCGTAGTCTTTTTTTTATGATCGAGCAAGACAAGCACGGGGTTCACTGGATGGTAGATGAAATAGCCCAGCCACATTACATCTAGACAAGATGTGCTACCGACCTATTTTGGTTTTAGATGTACGGTTTATACTGACTGAAACCGAAGCGCGAGTAAACTGGACAGCTGTTGCATCTGTGGATGGTTAGTGACACGTATAGAATTTCGATATTCCTACCACCCACTTAATATACAAATTTCCAGACGAAGTCCCACATGTCTCGGAAAAAATGTAAATCGATTAGAAAAATGTTGAACGAGTTGTTGATTATTAGCCATACATTGCTACATTTACCCCAATCTTGCGTCGAATTAATATTTACATTGTGAAAAATTAATTGAATGCATAAAAGCAATGTTATGTATAGATTACAAAAGAAATTCTTAAGTAGTTATATATAATAAATTGCCATTATTTAAAGTAAAATCAGAAATTATCTTCAATGATAATGATAAATATAATCTAGAATTACTTAGTGACTTACCTACCTTATGTGAAAATCTTGTGAAGGGATTCTGTTGTACATAGCTTTCCAGACCAAAAATTGACATGTGTTTTTACAATCTACAAAACCTTCTACTCCTACTGCTAATTACCTGACATATTTGAAATGCATTTTGTGGCATGAATTTGCATTACCTTTATATACCCATTACCTCTTTAATATAATTTACTTACTGGTATTATCCTATCGCAACCCCGAACTGTCGAGTACGTGTAGTGATAATATCCGCCGCCGTTAGCGCAACTGCCCATGGACACGACGAAGCGGGGATCCGGCATATGGTCGTAGGTCTTGCGCAGAACCGGCGCCATCTTGTTGGTGACAGTTCCCGCCACGATGATGACGTCAGTCTGTCGCGGTGTGCCACGGAAGACCATGCCGTAGCGATCCATGTCATATCTGGAAATTAGGATAGATTAAGAAGCTGTAGCCCACGACGTCGGTCCTGTCGTTCTTCCAAGTTATATATAGTGTTGCGCATATTTAAAGGGGAATCATTCTTTCATAGATATTTTTTGGATATCTTAAACCGTTTTCTTATATGTACCGAATAATACCAAATCCCCGTTTTTTTTTTTTCCACTGTTTCTTTGAACCTATAAGGCGCATCGCTTGTTTTATAGCCTTCCTCAATAATTGCTCTATCCAAGAAAAAAAATATTTCAATTCTCACCAGTAGTTGATGAGATAAGCGCGTTAAACAAACAAACTCTGCAGCTTTATTATAGAAACATATTATTATTTAATTTATTTTAACTACGATCTGACGTTTCGGATGCTTTGCAGCAGCCATGGTCAGGGGGGGAATGCCATTATATTTCATTTTTAAAACGCCTATTGATTAAGCAGTATGATTATGTTGCATTACTATTATTAGCTGCCCGGTAAATGTTTTGTAGAATACATGTAAAAAAGCTAACATACATATAACTCTTGTACATCCGAGTATACGTTACAATCGCAAACAGCTTTTTCGTGAAATACCGGTAATACACACATCGCCATAATATGATGTAACAAACAAGGGTGCGACATCGCCCGACAGCGAGGATTCCGTTTCAATCGAATTGTCTCGCATCGATTGCACTGGGCCCACCTCTATTCAGGGTGTCCTACCTAGATTGCTATAACCACAACTTCCATAGTCTTAATGGGACCAGAGCCAAGAGCGTTAAGGGAAAACCCCAAATTTTTGGAGATCCGTTGTGAAACAATTTAAGTAATCTATCAAATTTTTGAGGATCGATTCCTAAAATTGTTTATTGTATATAATTAAACCTGTTTTTAATGGATTAGCTAATAAGGTTTAAAAAAATTCTAAGCATTGTGGCTGTTGTGTAAGTAAATGCTTGTCTTTTAAATTAAAAATCGACTTAGATTGAATAATTTTTACGACGCGGCAAGACTTGAACCATCCACAACGTTCCGTGCCTTTTTCTCTAATCAATTGAGCTACCGTGTTCTCAAGTCCTGCCCTATTTTTAATTAATAAAAATACATAAATTGCATGTTACAAAAAAAGAAAGATTTCCGGCTTGTCCCTTGTTTTTTTAAGTATTCTGCCACTAGGAATTTAAATATTTTAATTGATTTCTTACCGCGGTCCCGCGTAGTGCATCATCTCCAAAGCGCAGCAGGCCAGCCCAAAAGTCAAAGGCCAGAGAGACCCTTTTCGGCTCCAGTTCAGAATGTCGTCTAGACGCGCCACTACCCACTCGACTTTACCCTGAAACAAAAGTTTTTACAGTCTGTAACGCAAGATGTCTCAAATCAAGACGTTCCGAGAAATATTTTTCCCCAACAGATAAATTGCTTTCGGAATCTAATCTACATCCGTTTAAGAAACTTGAGCAAAACTCATTTGGGAAGGCTGGCGGAGGCTATTCGCGTGTTTCCCATGAAAAAAACTTTCAATATTTTCTGTATTCATAAGGTAAATGAGAGCACCAATATTGGTTTTTAATTTTATCGAATTGGATTAGGGTCTTCATTACTGAGAATTGTGATAAAAGGTGCCTAAAATCGACCTATTTTGAGCCCCGAATTTAATTTATTGTCTTCTAAGGTACATTGCCTTTCATTGGTAATAATTTTTTACTTGTTGGTAAGGTGTAATGACATGTATTGGTAAAAGCTCCATCAATAATCACTTCACTATTTTCTAGAAATTGTGTGATCAAAACAGACGTACAAACAAAATGTAAAATTTTCTTCTTTTTTTTATTTTAGAACACACTGACATATAGCATTAGTAAATCCTATTGTATGCCAATGCATACCACAGGATTTACTAATGATGTTTTATTTTCTATCAACATTATAAATATATCCTGTTACATAAGTTGTATGTAGCTTTTTAATATTTAAAGTTTTTTTTTAATCGGCGCAATGAGTTTTGACTTTATTCGATTCGCTCGGTTAGACTCATCGACCTATATAATATTAGTGTGGTGAAACCTGTGTTCTCATATAAATGAGCTTATAGTTAAATTAGTGCGGTACCAATTAATTTAATACAGTCAAATGTTTTACTGATGACGGTAATCCACTTAAAACCTATTGATCCGTTTCCTGGCAAATAAAACTCGAACTGAATTGAATAGAGGTAATTGGAGCACACAAAATCGTAGCAAACTAGCGGTTTTCAATAAAACAAACTTTAAAAGCTGTTTTGAAACGTTAATTTTAATTTGCAAACTTTTTCTGCCAGAAGTATGCAGAAGACCAATCTCTATAGTGCTATAGTAAATGTATAATTATATTAAAAGTTTAATATTTTTCACATATTATTGGCATTACATAAATTATACATCTATTAAATTTAAAAGTAGCTTTGTTAGATCAGCAGCACGGAACGGTGAGGATGCCGGTTTAATTCCCGCTCGTGTCGTCAACTTTTCCATGTAAATAGATTTGTGTGAGAAATCGTATTATCAGACTCAATTTAGTGTCCGTATTCTATTTAGTTAGGTACATATATGACCGCACATTTAGTGCTTAGCTCAAACAAAACTATTTTATTTCCCGGGATGAAGATTAAAGACGGGTTACAACGACGATTATCGCGTTAGCTTTGGATAATTTGATTGGCATTTATCGAGACAGGTGTCGAATCTATCACTTATATAGAATCAATTGACGTTCGTTGTTAATATTAATTTATGTCTTGTCTAATATAAACTTTAAGTTTGACAGTTCACCAACCTTTACAAACAATTGCGTTTTACTCAAGTACCTAAAGAAGGTGCGTTGGAAAGTTCCTGGTGGAATAAAACAAAAAGCAATGATTATAGTATTCGCAAGTAGACGCTGATTGTTATTTTCCCTGGATTCGAACCTAAGGCCCACGTGCTTACACACGTAACACATTACCATTGACCTCCGATAGAAATAGTAAGACAATGTTACTATTTTTTGCAATTACCTGTTAACTATTTAAGGAACGTTTTACTGTTTCAAATATAGACATCTCCAACTTCTGTTGGCATGGCTACACAAATCCAATTATAATGACACGTTAAATAATTATCAATCGTGTCATCATATTTTTAACTAGCTGTAACCATACCTGTCTTAGTTACTGATTTTGACCTTACAAAGTCGACGAATACATAAGCAAATTTATAGATTTTTTAACAGTGTTATCCAATGATAAATTAAATAATTGTTTACATTAAAACACTTGTTTATATTGTTGGCAAGGTATTACAGCTTCCCGTGTGTTACTTAACATCGACGGTTGTCATGAACACATTTCACGTGAAAGTTTTAGACACTGAACTCCTATGTCTAACGTATATACGTCATGTCATACAATGCGATTCAGATTCCAAGACATATCCTGTCATGCAATGCGAGTCTAAGTGCTCACGCCGTCCACTCTAATCCACGGCGGAGTCAGATTGCGACGGACTAAGCTTAATGGGTTCGCGTGGGACGGAATAAACGTGTCTATGTTTACTAATAAGATTACGTTAAGGGTGGTATAAGCTTTAGAAAAGTTTAAAAGGCAGCCATCAACAAAACTTATTCTCGTATAAATTATTTTTAAGTTGCAAATAAATAGAGTATTATAGATATACTTGAAATAAATGTCTGTTAAGTAGGTAGGTTAACCTAATTGTTGGTTTTGCATATAGACGACCTACAGACAATATTGTCTGTATTTTACGCGAGTATTACACACTTAAATAAAACACTTTTAAACGTTAAAAACGCGAAATGTATGAGTTAAGCTTATTTTCAAATAGTCATAACTACGAAACGTACGTTAAAATAATTCGTAAATAAGTTTAACCATTACATTACGCGTTTTAAACCGTTAAAATTATTCAAAAACGACCCGACGTTTTAATACACTAAATTGCAATTCTCCTCTATAACATTTAAAACCTTTTTGGTCGAAAACCGACATTTAAAATCACGTCTCGTCGCAAGACCTAATCCCAATAAAACCTCACTGGACCCACCCATACATAGCTAAGTCCAATACTCTTTAGTAATTGGATCGAGTCTAGGTTGGCGCAAGGTGACCGGACACTATGTTTAAGCAATAAGTTTTCGTTCTTCTAACATTTTGTCCCAGCTAGCTGGGTACCCAAATTTTTTTGTAAATTTAAACCCTACCATATGTTGTTTTTCCGTCTCCAGCCGAGATAATCCGAAAAAGCAAAATGTAAAGACCACATTTCTATGGTATTGCATAGATATAATGAGTAGATTTACATACGCAACAAAAATTATTGATTTAAAACCAATAATGTCTTGTTTATTTGTATATGATACATCTCAAGTAAGGGCAAGGTTAATTAGCTGGAAGGTAAAATAGTCCAGCCAACATCGGCAAGATGTGCTGGCGATCTATTCTGCATTGGATATTCAGAAGTGTATATACCTAAGCATTTAGTAAAAGGCTGTTAATTTCAAAATAAAACCATACACTACAACGCAGTGCCAGGCATTGGGGTGTAAGGGGGGTAATTTGCATATGTACCTATGTGTGTATGTATGTATAGTTGTAGGAGAAAGGAATAGCAAAAGGGCAGGCCTATGTCTGTTATAAACTAACTAACGCGTCACGTTATAAACTTAATGACGACGCTTTCATGTTGTGTCCTCGGGGAATGAATAGCTCCCGATCTACTTTAAATTCTATGCGAAAAGACTAATACTGAGTGTGTGTTGTGTGGCCGCCTTGTCTTTTTAATTGGGTAGATATAAGGGAACCTTTACATTTATTTAATGCGCAAACCTGGCTAAAGGAATTAAAAGGGGTAAACTATTTATTTTTGGTTAGTCGTGGATTCATAATGGCCAAGCACGGGTTGGTCACTTATGACAAGATTGGCCTAATCTTGTCATAAGTTAAAGTAGAATATAAAATTGTTATTTAATTACGACTTTGTCTAAGTTTAGTGTTTAGACACCACGACATGATTGTTTTACATACAAGCAATTTCCGAGCTTCCCTGGGCACTTTTAATGTGCTTTAGGGTTAAGTGAAGTCTAGATATAGCATGTGGTTACTAATTTAATTCACCTGTCCCTTATAATGGAAGGGCGAGTAACGTCTGACGTCACCAACTTTGTATGTTGGGCTCCCGGGTGGGTTGACATAGGCTTTCGATTTGGGCTTCTGCGAGATGTTCTTTGGTTTTTCGGATTTGTCTCCGGTGCTGTATTTTAGTGATTGAATGAGATGTTTCCTCGTTTGATGTCTAAAAAAAAACAATTATAAACTAATATTTATATAATAGGCATTAAAAAGATGGTAGAGAGCTGCTAGCTACTCAATTTTTTATTTAATTTAATATGTCGTTTTCTTAGTATTGTCTTTTATTGTCAATCAATGTTTCTTGTGTAGATAAGGAAGACGGTAAAAAACACTATGATAGGTGACCCCCGCTACTTGACGAGCCACTGAGGAACCCCTAAATCTGAAGAATTGATCGATATTATTATCATTTCTGTCCCGGACAGGAATTGCACCAGGCATTATTTATCATAACAGATACGTTCTACGCATTTACATGTTACAATTGTTATAATCATTTGCTTCTAATCGAAAGGAAATATTTGAACGGGAACACTTTTCCTGAAACAATATTATTCACTAAAATTTCTGTCACCTCAAACTAGCCCTCCAGACGTAACGAGCTAACATTTTAGCTGTATAAATAGGCTATGTTTTGTACACCCGATTTCGTGTTTGTGACAGTCTGTTGGCGTTAACGTATGAAAATTGCGTCGGGTGACAGGCCATTTTTTTCAATCCGTGTTTCTAAAAAAGTTCGATGACAAAGAGATTTTTAGTGAATGTGACAACTCGTAAAATATTTTACATTGCCTATCTGGCTGGGTTTTTGGGGGCAACATTTTCGTGATATATTTAATTGCGTACATACCCGTATGTTACAGATTTAGTCTGAATCTATTCAGAATAGGAAAGCTATCAAATAAAGAACAAGACCGTTGCTCTTTAGAACACAGTAAAATCATCAACAGACAAACATTTTTGACGAATTTAAATCCTTTTTAAATTTTAAAGGGAATAGTTTTTTTTTTCCAAGTTTAAGTATTACTTGCTTTAGGTATTTCCTATTAGCAATTTTAAATCATACAGATATAAACATCAAGGCTCAAAAACCAAAAACTCACAGATTATATTATTTCTACTGCACTGTTTCGTTGTAGTGTACTGAATCTATTGAATAAAGTTATAATCGCAAGTCAACGAACTGAAATTGAAAAGCAGGACGCGCAATGGAATTAGATTATCCATCTCTGTCACTCGTGCTGAGTAATGGACAGGGGAACGAGACAGCAATAGGCTTATAAAATGTTTTTTCTGAATAGACTCGTACGAGAGTATTGAAATGTGCGTAGCTCCGTAGCGCCGTGGCGAAAGGGATTTTCCGATGACGCAGCAGTTGTATTGTGTTTCGTAGCTTTTGTCTTCGCGAAGAGGTTTTTTTACTGGTATATAGATTTGTATGAGGAAAACTTTAATTTATTTAGGCTTAGTCGTAGTTGGTGTTTGACGAAATTGGCTGGGTATTATCTATAATAATACACTTCCTTGCTAAATTATAACTATTAAACTATCTTGCTTGTAATAAGTCACAATCTTAAATTACGGATTAGGTTACTTAATTCATTGTTTAAAAGTCATTTAACACTTATGAAATTCAAATAAACAATGCGCTAGAATATTGATGAACTACACGAACATAATATTTAATTACAGAATCAATAAGTCGCAATCTATCGAGGGATGTAATTAATTCTCGCTTGAGCGGTCAAGCCGCGATATGATGTACGGGATTGGATTATGATACCAGATTAATTTCCTTTCATCCTCAAAGCGTGGAACGTGATTTGATGCATTTGCTTGATCGCCAATAAATTGTATCATAAAGTAATCAACATAGCTACATAGGGTTATAAGTTGTTCGAATACTTGGCGTTTCGTTGTCGTTGTCGAAAACAATTAGCTCTATTAGGATTTGGTTTTCAATGTATAAAACTACGTATGATGTTTCGTGTATTACGAAGATAATCATACAATTATTATTTTATTAACTATGTACAGACAGATGGAATATTATAAAAAGGAATAAAATACATTATTTTTATTCAGCATATCAAATAATCCTTAAGAAGAATTCATTCTTCGAGCAATCAAGAATAACATCACCTGATGATGCCGTCCGCACCTGATGGCGAAACGTCGAGAACTTCTTCTCGCTCACGTTGGCCGAACAGCTCGAAAAACGATGATATGCTGAACGTTAGGCGTGAGAGCCTTATACAATTTTTCATTATTATTATTTGGGCATTATTTGTTATGAAAATTATGTTTTTCTTATTCATTAGTTTGATTAAGTATTAGTTTTTGGGGGTCCCAGTTTCTTCACTAAAGGTAAGTTTTGCTTCTTAGCAAGCGTACATAAAAGCATTGTAAAATCGGTTGAAATTTTAGTATTTCATTCGTAGAGAATATTGAAGGTATAAAATATCTTTATATTTATTAGTAATGTTTCGGATGTGTAGGTACTAAAATGTACGCTTTAATTTAATATTAACAGATATGTATAATGACATTTTTAAAGGCTTTCAAGAGTTAAACTCAATAAAGATTTGTGTGTACATTACTCGAATACATATTAAAATGAAACACTTAACGTTTAAAAGGCGTGTCACCCAAGACCACAACTGCTGCAAAGCATCGGAAACGTTAGGCCGTACATGAAATAATTTCTAAATAATCTGAACAATTAAATTTCCTTTTAATCCGTATTGTTAAGTTGCAAATATTTCGCTTTAAATTGAGTCTTGATTGGCATTACGCTTAACTTGAGTTTGAAAAATGATCCGGTAACTTTTAAGTAGTGTCCTACGCCTACACCCATGATCAATATGCGATGCGGAGTCGCCTGATGGATTCTATTATCGTCGGCGACGAGGGATTTTTAATACAAACTTTCTGTACAAAACGGGGAACGTTGTCGCATAATGATCAGTTCCGAAACGCGGCGGGAATAATGATTGTTTTCATTTGTCGGATTAGAGATCCCCGGGCGAATGTTGCAGAGTGTTATTGAGTCCTACTCGCACTACGCTAGATGCAGTAGATAATTTGTAAAATGTGTAAGTTAACACAAATAAACAGTTATTAACAGCGCACCCTCTACCCAATGTAAGTTGTTTTGCTTTGTTTTAGTATGATTTAATTCCTTGTAAACAAGTGATTTCCTTAGAAACATGTAGAAATATTTTAATTTATGTTAATGTTGGATAGTGAATATTTTTTTATAATTTTATATCACAATTCGCTGCTAAAATAAAAGTTTTCTTACTATATTAATAACAAGTTCAATATATCTGATCCCCAATAAAAAGACGCCAATTTATATCGTTTAGTTTAAACTTTTGCTTGTTTTTATTCACTGTACGCGTTAGTGTAACAGTAGTTTTGGAAATATGTAAAGACCAAAACGTCGATGTTTGTTCGTTTAAAAAAATATTGAAAACGCTTTCATAAAGCTGCAAACCTAGAGAAATCAAATAATTGTAGTTGAAAGTTCGCTAAATCTCCAATTCTGAAACTACGGAACCGCGTCACTTGTTAACCGCGGCGTACTTGTAATAATAACAATCGTGGAACTTCATTGTTATATACACGTGTTTAAATAATTGTATTGAGACGAATTCGGTGCCTAATTGTGTTTATAAATGTCGACTGCATATGCTCCAGAATTTTGGTGACGTATTAGGGGTTTGGGACTTTTAATTGGTGGGTTATATTTATATTGTGAAATGAGAAATAAATGAAAAAGCCTTTATTACGGATACTACACTTTAAACTTACAATAATGAATGTTTCTTACTTATACTTACAATTTTTATTTTCTTCTAGTCTATATCTATTTTTATAATAAGATCTATATAATATATAGATCCGTGTGCCGCTCGGCAAAGGCTTCCTTCAACTAATACTTAATGTTCTTCCAAATTGTTCTTTTCTATTTATATTGTAGCGTTCTACATTTATTTATTAAATAATTTATGTCATATAATCCAGACTATTTAGCCTTGGGCAAAATTATAAAAAGTTTTGCTCGCCGTCACTACGGCTTCTGCAAAGCACCCTAAACGTCGAGCCGTAGTCAGAGTAAATTAAAAACAAACAATTATAATTAATTCTGTGTTTTTCACCGTTAAATATGTGTTTTATTGTTAACAATTGACCATTAAAAACATAACTTTTCAAGATGTACAATATATTGTTTATGACAGGTTTATCACGCAATTTAATTAATTAATTAGTACAATATTTTGAGTCATGTTGCGTATACCGTATCTATAACCAATTAGTTTTTGTCGGGCGAGGCACAGAAGTCTAATCAACTACTTGGAAAACGGAATTCCACTTTTAACTTTGAGACATGTAATAATTTATGTTATATTATATATTGTGTTCACGATTTTTTAAGATCTTTTTGAGCAGTTATGATTCATTTTATGTACATACTTATATGTATTTGTTTATTTGGGCAATATCTTAAAAATTCAACTACATTCAAGACAATTCGCAACTTCTTTGAAGCGGTCTTGTTATCTACTTAACTGACTTCAAAAATGTCGGTTACTTTGTCTCTGCATCAAAGAGAAGTGGTTGTGTAAAGCCGGTTAAATGCTGATGGATCAAAGGTTGAGTGCCTTTCCGTCGGGCTTTTCGGCTTCAACTATGACCTACGTTGGAGCTGTCATGATTCTCTGGAGCTTACTAGAGAAAAATGTCGGAGCAATATTAAGACAAACAGCGTCTTTACTTTAAGAGTTAAAAGAGAAATTAGATAAGAGAAAATCTTTTAACGTATGGCTTTAAAAATGTAATATAGGTTTGATTCTGTTAAGACAATATTATTTTGTATAACAGAGGAGGATTGAAAAGCATAGTTCATTTACCAAATTTTACTTCAATGTAATATCTAGCTAAACAAGAAACAGTTCTGACCTATCCTGGATTTAAAAGAAATCTTTAGACTGAAACGAGAACCAGATTACGCGGAGTGGGCGGCGAATTTTTCAGACGCAGAATATTTCAGACTGTAACTGTTTAAAAAGAGAAATATATTAACTTTTTAAACATTTATTTTAAGTACGGCCCAATATTCCACATGCTTTGCAGCAGCATGGTCACACCTTGCCTTTCGTAAACTACAGACATTTCATATAAGGAATTATGTTCAACTTGTCGGGGACCGAACCCACAACCCGTTCATATATACTACCATTGGACCTAAGAGCCAATCAAAAAAGATTATTACTTTCCATTAACAATGGTTTCAGCAGCACCATAGCTCAACGTCAAGCCATTAATTAATGCGGTGAGCGAGCAATTATTCGATATTCACGCCACAAAGGGACTAACTCTGATAACCGACTTAGTACTTATGTTAGTGAATACGTGAGGTCAGTGGTCATTGATCAGGAGGCTGTGTGATCATTTCTCCGCCACTTCCAAAGTCCCTCTTGGTGGGGACATGCGTTATTTTAATATAACATTTTTAATATAAAGGGGGTCAAGCAGGGGGTGTGTGACTTGACGCGAAGTGAAATACACAATTTTACACCCAAACAAGATGCGCCAACCGAATATCCAAAGCAAAAATAGGTTGACACTATTTTAGCTTTGGATATTCGGTTGGATAGCTAAACAAGGGGTTACTATTGTTTTAACATAAGTCGAAAAATTTCACATTTATGTTATTATTGTGTGGAGACTGATCTAAGGCGAAAGATCAGTCCACACAAAATGTGTACCATTACACCCAAGTCCCCCACTCCTCCCCTTTGATTGTTATGTTTCTTCTTCTGCTCTGCTTTAATAAACATGAATACAACAGAGAATAATCGCTTTGAATATTGATGCATTTTTCCATAAATGTAGATTTAATCTATAGATTGCATTAAAAGTTAGTGGATATTCGCCACAGACTGTTTAGAGACTAAATACTGTCTGTAGTTTACGCGAGTAGTACAAATTTAAATAAAACATTGTAACCGTTTAAAACGCGATATATTTTAGTTAAACTTGTTTGAAATTTTTTTTTTAGCTACGGTCCGACGTTCCGCGCGATATATGTTAGTCAAACAAGTTTAACCAAAATATTGCGTTTTAAACCGTTAAGTGTTTTATTTAAATGTTTAAGGACTGTCAATCATCACCTTTATACTATTATTCTCTTTATTGATTGATTATCATACAGTTAATTTCAGTTTTCACTAGAAGCGGTGTTAGTAAACTTATTTTTTTTTTATACAAATTATACAATCTAGTAGTAATAAAAAGTCTGCAAATTAAACAGTTCTTATCCCCTCGTCGACTCTTTGTCGAGGTTTATCGGATTTTCAACGTTTTATTCTGCATCCGACAGCAACGAGCGGAGTCATTTGCAATGGAAACTTTTATTTCAATAATTTTCAAATACAATGATACTTGCTTTTTCTGTTATGGCGCAGCGTTTCATTTTAATTAAAATGGGTTTTAATGGTATTTTATATGATTCTGGTATATATAATGTAGCAAAACTTTTATCCTATACAATATAGTGTGTTATAGCAATGATTCAAATTTGTTTATTATACGTAGTTTTTGTACAATAATCTAAGTATGTTCCGATTGCATTTTGCTAATAAGAGTTATCGTATGTCTTTTGAATAAAAGATCTAGGAGGGACGATCCAAGCCTTTTCTTTTTCACTTTGTGATTAGTTCTTCTGAACAACGCGCGAACACAAATTTGACAACTTAATTTTATTTGCCGAGGCAGATTTTAAATATTTGATTATGAAACTCTGCCCTTTGTTAATACTTATACAACACGCTAAGCGTACCTACAACTTGGTGTATTACAGATAAATACAGTAAGTAACAAATTGTGTAAGGCTTTAGCGATAAGCTTTTTTATAAAGCTTGAAATCAAACAAGAGCTTCATCATAGTTTAGTTTTAATTTTAACCATTTTTGAGTTTTGATGGTACAATATTAAACTGCTTTGTTCAATAAGTGTATTGATATCTTAGTTAATTACTGACATGCTGTTTACATCTTATTACCTATATACAAATACACAGTACGCATACAAACATTGTATTAACCTTAGAACACTATATTGTTAGAAGAAAAATCTATCTTCATTTCTCTATACGAATGTGGATCTTGAGGGCAATTTTCCGGTGCACTGAAGCGATGGCACCACGACCGTGAGACTTGCCACGTATAGGAGCGCACTTGGCAATTTGTTGCCTTGTCACTACATATCCTCGGCGAGTTTGTCGGTCTGTTCGTTCGGTCTTAAGTAGTAATGACTAAAAGTGTGATAAATAAAATGTAAAAAGTTGATACCTCATATCGAAATATTGTTTAAATATGATGCCATGTGTTTTAGAGGGTAAAGAAGACGAACAAAATTCAAAGTTAATCTTTATAACAATAACATTAAATTTACATTTCTTTGACAATATTTAAAGATAGACAGAAATATGTGTATATGTGTGAAATCCCGTTTTCCTTTTCGTGGGACATGGGGCGAACACACTTCCGTGTCCGTTTCACTGATTCGTTCTTTAACAGGCAAGTACTTGATCAGACTACTGTGCCCTGCCCGACCGAAACAATTTTCTACTTTCCTGGGGTTCGAACCCAGGACCTCTCGCGCTTAACTCAATGCTAGGCAATACGTTTAACCATTTGGTTACAGAGGCGGTTGGAAATAAATATACCACGAATATAAACTGCCCTCAAAAGGGCACAGTTTTCTTTCGAAAATAATGCTTGTTTCTCATGTCTCGGGTCTTAATAAGACTTTTAACTTCATGATGCTTTATAGTTTAAAGCGACGTCACGAAATGTATTTCGCGTTTTAAACAGTTTAATTTAAATGTGTACTACTCGCGTAAATTGCAGACATTAATTAAGTCTCTGGTCTTTTGCAAGCAGAATTTACCTTCGAGAGATGAAGTAGATATGGACCAATTCAAAGGATTGAGATTTCTGTCCGCCACTGAACAGACAGACTGCGTTAACTCGTTTCACAAACAGACCGACTGTTTGACAAGCCACAGTCGATGTTTGCTCACGTTCCGATGTTTTGGATTATTTTTTGTTTACCTTTCGTTACGGACAGATCTCGGAAGAGTGATTTTGTTAATCGTGTCAAAGATGGCGGGTAACTATTTTTGTTTGTTTATAACATTAGTATTAATAGGCAGTGTCATTTGTAAAAATATGTCGTGGAAATCATAAATGGGAATTGAAATATATAGTATCATTCTTTAGTATCGATTTGTTTTAGCTACGGCCCAATTACATGGCCTATTATGATTTGATTGTAATGAAAAAAAAATCGTATTTTTACCTGAACCATTTTGGACCATTAAAAGTTTTTTTTGAAATTATTTAAGTAACTAAGTATACACTAAGCGAATGTCTTTAGTTAATAGAAGTTTTAAAAGAGATTACTGCAAGATTCATATTAACTGGTTTTTTTCATTCCAGGCTATGCACCCTTCGCGTAACCAGACTTCGGGTATGCGGTGCTCTCGGCGAGGCCGGAGGGGGGGCAGCAGCAGGCGGCGCTGGCGCTGTCACGCTGGCTGCAAGAATGCACAGCAGCAAGAGAACGCTGCGCTCCAACGACATCATCATCCCTCCGATGGATGTCGAGCTGGATCTCTGCTTCTCGTTGCAGTACCCACATTTCGTCAAACGCGATGGGAATAGGTTAGTAGACAGTTTCACAAGAAATTCATATGAATCAGCTGTTAGTTTGATTTTTAGGGAGTGAAGGGTGAGGGGTGAAGGGTTCAAAAGGTTAACGGATTTTATAATAGCAGTACTATGCTAGCTGACCTGGCAAACGTTCTTTGTCTCATAAATGATTTCGACCAAAATTTTAGTAACATAAAATCGGTTCTTGTGTGTTAATCTAAAAAGATACTGTCGTGGACATTTTTTAGGATGTTTAAAGCAAAATAATCCTTTTTTTATATATTTTACGGTTGTCTTGAACCGTTATTTAACCTAAAGCCTTCGTCGACACGTACTCCAACGAACATATAAAATATATTTTTTTTTATTTTAATGAGTAATGCCTGAGATGAGCCCATTCAAATAATCAAACGTCAACTTTATAATATTAGTATAGACGCACTTTACTTATATCTACCGTAAAAGTTTTTAACTGGGCTATAATTTGCGCTCGATTTTATTTTGATTTACGATACTAGCTTTTGCAAGGAAATAGGTTTTCTTCTCTAAAAGTTTTCAAAGGCGAAGTTCAATTTTACGTTCAACATTTCCTGTTGCTAAAACTTTTTGACAAAAAAATGGGGCAACTTTCACCGGATTTGAATTCAGAATAAATTGAATGGGAAAACCGTGTTATTGAGTTCTTCTTTAGCCGTCAAAGAATATTTATTTCGGCAGAGGTCAAATAAAATATACCCGGATAGCCATCCCGACGGATGTGGTTTTACGATTTGAAACGTGGAATTATGAGTAGCGTGGTATTTTGAGGCCGAGGTTACAATTCATAGTTTTTTTATATTTCGAGAGCTTTTATTGCTTTTATACTTTACTGCTTTAATACCTAGATTCCCGAAATTGCATTAGCTTACGTTTATTTACGATAAGTTTATTTCTAATTCGAATCTGTACAGGATAAGTTAATTACCTGTAAAATAAAGGACACTATTTTTACGTCCCGTCTGTAGTTTACGCGAGTAGTACACATTTAAATAAAACGGTTTAAAACGCGAAATAAATTTGTTAACTTATCCAGTTTGACCAGGCTCAACACGTTTCGCGTTTTAAGTCGTTTATTGTTTTTTTTTTAAGATTTTTTTGTTCCATTTAAAATAATAATATTTAAGTAATAAGTATGGCCCTTGTTTTGTTATGTTTATATTGTTATTTAATAATATTATATTTATTTCATTCTTGAAAAAGATACTTAAGATTTGTGTAGAATTGGCCCTACAATATTTTTTACTAACACTTAGATCGTCGTTAGGCGATTATCTAAGCAGATTAAGGAGACCTTATATCTACTTCACTTGTAGACACACGAACCGAGTTTATTCTTTTGATATTTGAAATATTTATCTAACACGGAGAACACCTGCGTCTCTAACAATTGAGCTACCTTGTCCTACACGTTATCGCCGAATTTCTTTAACCCATTGATATATGCATTTCTCTATCAATGTATGCCTACCTTAGCACGTATCGTTATCTTGAATATGTTTATCTTCTAGCATGACAAACAATTACATCTCCGTTAACACTAAGATTACCTTAACATATTATTATAACTCTAACCAGTATCCCGGTTCCCTTTATCGCTTTAACAGGACGTTAGTGCGTAGTTTAGCCGTGAAATTGGCCTTCGGACTCGTGACCCCTTTTAGTGTGAACTTGGCTTTATGGCCGTTCCGTTCTTTTATGTTTATTGATAGTGCTCTTTAAATGCGCAGTACATTTGTATGGGCATCGCGTTCAAAATGGATCTCGCGTGGAGGATTATTCGGCTTCCATTGCTACGGTTTTTTTAAGTAGTGTTAGCAGAATAGGCAAGTAATGAAAATTGTCTCATTGGCCATTTTCGTGTGTAAAACCTGGCACACATATATGTTTTACTTTATCTCTGGTAAATTATTTGCTGATTTCTTTTAAGTGCTCGCTAGTAGATTCAACATAGCGTTGTTTTCTATTTATATTCTCGAGAGTTTAATTCGTATACAAACGTATAGTTAAAAATGGTTAAATTTAAATACTGTCTGTAGTTTACGCGAGTAGTACACATTTAAATAAAACACTTTAACGGTTTAAAACGCGATATATTTTAGTTAAACTTTGTTTCAAAATAATTTTTAACTACGGCCCTACATTTCGAATGCTTTGCAGCAGCAGTGGTCACGAATATACTATCTCCCGATCGAATTATTTCGCGTTTGAAACCGTTAAAGTGTTTTATTTAAATGTGTCTACTCGGTAAACCACAACAGTATTTATTAAATATGTATACTAACCAATATTTTTTGTTGCGAATCTTAATATTACCATTAATATTTAATTAATACTGATTCCTTAGTATCATTACTATGTTGATATCAACATTATTAAACTTGGCTATTAGCTAGGTACCAAGTTCGCCTTCTAAAATGTGTTTCCTAATACCGGCTCGGGTATCCAATAAGCGAGGATTTGCTAGGTTTGAGCCAGTCTAGCCGGGTATAAGCTGTTACCGTATTATGCTTGAGAAGATACAGCTGTCGACTGTCGACTGTGTTCTCGGTTCGAATTCTATTAAGACACGATAATCTGTTTCGATCGGAACTTATAGGAATCCGAAGATTTGAAAGCGCGGCTTACTTAAAAGTTGCTTTTCAAAAAGCAAGAGTTCTTTAAAATGTTGTGCGGTTTAAAAATACCAGTAGATCTATTTGTAAATTTATTTTTGTTCTATTAATAAAAATTAATAAATATTCGTTCATTATCTTTTTCATTCGTATTAGTCTTTTAAAACCTTTTAACTTCGGCCAGTTGAAACAGTCTGAAAAACAACGCTATGCGATTTCCTTCTTATACAGTATTGAACTTGAAGTCTTAATCCCGAGGTGCCACAAAGTTTTAGATAAGTAAGTCTACTGTTTTTCTTGATATATCTTTTTATTTCTTTCGAAAATATAACTTTCGCACATGAGTTTGCTTTCTCTTCTCTGCTGCATTGTGGTAAAAGTCTTGCGGTTGATAAAGTAAAGTCCAAATACACTGTTTGTTGTGGGTTCGAGTCCTACCTATGACATAGATTTTATACAATGTCTCATCTATTTTCCCTTATCTAGCAGCGCAGTAAATTTATATATTCAACGTCAGCATTAAATTTGAATAATATTTGAGCTGTGCAGTAACCGCGACAAGTAATGAGCGCGCCGTCGTTCCCCGTTCCCGGCTACATTTTATATTATGTTTTATTACTGCCAGCCGCGTACCGTGTCGTAAAATTTAAAGGAATACGCCTTTTGCGCCTTTCATATTTTATTTATGTTGAGCCTTCGGTGTGAAAATATTGAGTTGGACCTATAGTTTACTGGACTACATTGGTCGTGTTTGGAATAATCTATTTTTATACATATAGGATCCATTAACTCAATCACATAAGTGGTTTTATTACAAGTTTTAAATGTCTTTAGTCTATATAATTTTACAACTAAATAAGTGAATGTTCCTGTTTTAATACAATACATTATTCAACTTCTAGTGTTATTGAGACACGGACGAGGACGCAAACGCCGTCTAACATTTGTTTTACTTGAAGTATTGTTTAGACTCTGATTTTTTATTTAACCTTCCAGGTTGCAGATAATGTTGCAGCGTCGCAAGAAATACAAGAACCGCACAATACTCGGGTACAAGACCCTCGCTGAGGGAGTCATTAGGATGGATCAGGTAACTTATGATAGTATATGAAGAACAGGACAAACTTTATAATAATTTAAGGTGAATATTTAATTGTGATAAAAGGTACCCGAAAGTATTCTACATTTAAACTGGGCATTGTAAAATAAAGCTCACGTTAAATTTGACGAAGTCATTAGTTCTATTTTAGGATCTATGAAAACAACGAATCGTAAGTTTGATTTCCGCAGGTTTTTATAATAAGATATTTTTTTTGAATTATTTCAAAATCCGTCTGGATAATAAATGGGTGGGAGAAATATCGGCATTCTGTCTGGGTAACGAACCACCATCCACTGATCGCTGTGAATATCCAAGACCAAAAACGTTAACCTTTCAGTGGTCTTCTCTAAATCGTTAATCTTATTTAGAAGTTAGAAGACTAGTTCTTTTCCTCTTTTACCAAGTAAACCTCACGCGTGTCTGCCTTCCTTTGTCATAAAAGAAACAATGATAAATACTGTCTGTAGTTCGCGAGTAGTACAAATTTAAACAAAACACTTCAACGGTTTAAAACGCGATATGTATCAGTTAAACTTATTTCTTAACGTTAAATAAGTTTAACTAATAGCAACATTAAGCAATGATAAATTACATTAGGCTTGAAAACATTATTATTTTTTACATGTTATTGCACGTGAAGGCACTATATAATTTAAAAATCGAAAATTAATTTTAAAAAAAAATATCGACTCAGGCAGGACTTGAACCGACATCGTGAGCGGACTCGGTCGCTCAATTTTGGTAGACCAACAGCACGGAACACTGACGATGCCGGTTCAAGTCCTGCCCGAGGCGAAAATTTTTTAGCTTTATTTTTTTTCCTTGCGATTTATCTTTTTCCTTGATAAAACATTAAGGCAGTAAATAAAACACTCAAATGGATATTTTCGATTTATTAAACTCGCCATTAGTTTTAAAACGCCATTATTCATGACTAAGTAAATCCAATGGCGACCGCTTGTAAAATAGTTTCGGGCGATTAGTGAATCATCCAATTGAGAGTTGTTAGTCGGTTACTATAAATATATCGTGTTCGCGAATTACACAATTGTTTTGGATTGGATTAACTCAATGTGGTAGGAAAATTTTAGCAGGACCTGATGAAGGTTTGACGTGGTGTTGATAGGCTCATTGATAGGCATGGACCAGCAATGTAATTTGAAATCAATTACTATAATTTGTTGGTCTAGTGGTTAGTGCACTCGACTGAGGATTACGGCATGCCGGTTTCGAATTCGGCGTTTGGTCGAATCGTTACTTCGATATAAGAATTTTACAAAAAAAAAAATCGGGGTTTGAAATTATTAGGTGTCATCACCGTTGGTCCCTGTCAACACCACTAATTTGTGACGGTTTTCGTTAAAGTCCACCAACCCGTATTTGAGCAGCGTAGTGGGTCTAATCTTATAAAAACTCATGCGAGAAAAGACTTGGAACGAGGTTAAATTAAGGTGTATGTAGATTAAAAAATATAAAAAAATAACACGAGTATAAGTTAAATCTGCTTCGTAGTTTAATTATGATAACATTAAAAGGTTCCGATTTGTCTTTTAAGAAAATCTTAAAATTTTTTGATACTCTGAATTAAAAATATAGTTTTAAAATGTTTCGTTATAATCTACCTAAACACTACACATAAATTATACCTACAATTTACTGTACAATTTTAAATTACATCTCGTTATTAACGTTTTTATAGTACATGCGACGACAGGTGTTTCCGATGTTTAAAGCACTTTTCCTGTTTCTTAATATAAAGTAAATTTACTATCTCCTATCCTGCTCAACGACGCATAACATCGTAACTAAGATTATCAGACACTTTTGTATTTTCATGTAATTAACAAACATTCTTGTAATTAACAAACTCAAAAAACACTTTAGTAAGTTAATCTATACTAATATTATACATTCTAAAGTAACTCTGTCTGTCTGTCCGGCTTTAACGCCGAAACTACTGAACTGATTTAAATGAAATTTGGTACACAGATATGTTAGAGCCTGAGAAAGGACGTAGGCTTTTTAATGCCAAAAAAGGGTTGTTAGGGGTTGCATGTATAGGTTGAAAAAAAGCGACGATGACGTTACACGTAGGACACGTTAGCTCAGTTCTGTCCGTGTCGTTTTTTCTATCTAAAATCGTCTTTAATTTATATTGCGTCTTTAATTTTATTAAAGTGCACATAGAGAGATTAGTTTAAGAATACTTTGTCATTGGGTACGGACATACAAGTATCTCAGCCCATCCTCTATTTCTCTTTTCTGCAGTTTTACTACAATTATTCTTCTTACATATCAGTGTGGTAAAATGCTTATTGTTATTGCAGGTGCTCCAACGTTCAATGGATATGGAGCTGGAACTAACAAGCGTGGGCGGCAAAGTGGCTGCGCCTGCTGGACAACCGGTAGCCAGGCTGGCTATAACTGGGCTGGCTTCGACTCCGGTAGACCACGACACAAAGAATAATAATACTCTGCTTATCACAGGTAAATTTCCATAGGAGGAAAGTAGGTTTCTTTTAAGAAGCAAACGATCAAAACATCTGCACATTGACAATTCAAAGAACTTTTTCTTATTTGTTTCCATTTATAAAGGATAACTTTTTAATTAAAAATAGAGTAGATAATAGAAAAAAAAAGAAAGCCAATTTCAAGATTTCATAATTTGAACTCACTTACTTAGTTGCATTAACCCATAATTCCAGAACGAGGCTACTCTGACGAAGAAGAGGAAGGCGAGTTCAGCTCAGTGGAGGAGGCTGATGATATGACGTACGGTGCGCCTGCGCGCAGACGACCGCACAGGCAGATAGAGTTCAACAAGGCAGACTTTTCTTATACTAAGGTATCATAATTTACTGGTCCTTTCGCTACCGATGTTAAATACTAAGCCAATGATGCATAGTTACAACAAGGTACTTACTTATTGTGTTTTAAGTAGGAAAAGAAGGGCAAGATATTGTAGTGTACATACATATAACCGTTACGAATTGAGATATTTTTTTTTATCAATAAATAAACGCATGTGTTAAATAGCTTTAGCTTCTGTAATAATTGTACAAAAAATTAAAAAAAAACTTAATAAATTAAGCTAATTAAAATTTGGTAGCCTGTAGGAATATTTCTCAGTACTCTATAGTTTTTGAGGATTAATAATATTTTTATTTAAATCGTTAGTATTCTATTTAGTATATTTTAAATATGCTTTCGCTGAACCTGGTTTACATTAGAACAAAGTCCTTCATATAACGGGCATATAAAGGCAATTTAGGGAACCACAAAAAAATAGCAAATTACCTCTATCACCCCATTAGCACTATTGTAAGCCAGGCGATATAAAATTGCTTGCACGCAGCTGGGCTACATGGAACGAGAGAGACAGAGCTATATCCGCTCGAAGGCGCACGAGAGGGACAGCGATAGTGAGCTCGAACACGCGCCGAGCAAGCGCAAAGGCAGCCGCGGCAAGCTGGCGGTGAGCCGGCACGCGATATTCAACTTTATAACTATGAGCATAGAGATCTAAATTCATACAATGCTGATTATTCATAAATTATTATAATCTTCTCTATTGTTTGAGATAATACATTAATCTTAATGTAAGGCCGCGTTACATTAAGCAATTAACATATATAGCAATGTAACTAAAATTATTGTAATTAAGAATCTCTATTCTCATACTGCCTGCGTGTTAGTAGAAGTAGTTGTAGTAGTTAGTTAGATTAAACATATTACCTTGTTTATTTGTTCTGTTTATGGCTGTATATATTTTATCTTTTTATTTCTTTGTCTTGTGCTGTTTGTATGATAAACATTACTGTACTATCGACTTTTAAGGGGTGGTGGTATTTCAATTCAAATGTGTTTACTATGTTTGTTAAGCGTATATGGGCTGCCTTAGACGATTAAGGAAACGTACAATATAAACAGATGAGTTTTAATGTGACGTACTGTACACTACACTATAATACGAGTTACATTTCCGCCGTTCTCTGTATTATTACTACTTCCCAAGAATATAAATTAAAGATAGCTGCCCTATAAAATTTCAAATATAAAAAATATAAACGAGCTTTAATTATGCCTTAAAACAAATACAATAAAATGTATACAAAGTAGCGGGCTTTGTCTAGTCTATCGAAATTTATGACGTCACACATCTCGCCTCGACATAACCTTCGCCGGCACTAAATGAAAATGATGTAACGCTCGCTATCAGTACAGTGGCGTATCGCGATTAGATACGCCCACAGTGCCTTAAATAACAAGAATTATGTTGGCTATTGTGCGGTGCGGTTGCCTCAGCTATGGAGGTAAATGAAAGCCTGAATTTCAGGCGTATCGGTTGTGGCCTAGGCGCAGCTAACTGTGGTGTTTCAGTGTTTTGAAGTTATTTTCAGCATTCTTTCGGTTTGAATACTAACATGATTTTGTGATGCTATTTCTCTATTCGTTTTCGTGCATGTCTCGATATTTCAGACAGTTGCGACAATTGGTTTGGGTTCTCTTTGTAATATATATCTGTATTCAGATGAAAATGGACAGACATAGCTAATTTACAAAAAATATTTGACAATTGCAAATCTTTTAGCTACTGTAAAGAATATAACTAAATAAAAGCCCCTTAATGATAAGCATTTATCGTGGTATACAAAACACTGTATTTTTTTCAAAGACTAAGTTTAAAAACTGGGTTACCATAATTTTGTTTCTATCGTTCTGGCTCAGTTATACCTGTCAAGTAATAAATATAGTTTAGCCCATAGTTTTTTACTTCCAATAAGAGGTCGTTTCTACACCTTACGTAATGTAGAAATTTGTGTTCCAGCAACGCAACTTAAAGCAGAAGTTCGCTGCGCTCCTGCGCCGCTTCCGCGTCCCCGAAGAGATGGGGGAGCGTGGGGCAGCTCGGGACAACCACAACGCACAGCGGGATATTGACGAACTGTTCCAGGTATGGTGGAACTTTAATATATATGTTCATGGTGACACTATTCCAGGGCGGATCCAGTTTTGGTGCCAGGAATAGTCACATAGTCGTGGCCAAGTCAAGAAACTTTAATTTAATTTTAATAACAATAGATACAAGTACAAAGTAGATATTTTATTCATGTACACTTAAGGAATTGTACAATTGGAAGAATTTGGAGACAAAATAAATATTTTCATTTCGCCCGCCTAAATCCTGGACAATCTAATTGATTTAATACATTGAAATAATACACTTTTTTTGCGATTCAAAACGCCAAATTTATTACACAACTATTTTTTTTTTTATTTTATTTAATTATGATTAACTTTTTTATACGTTTATTACTCGTGTAAACTACAGACGATAGTCAATACAAAAAACACTTTATTGCATTGTCTAAAAATATAGTACATATACAAACATAATATCTTGAAGTAGCAGAAATAAAACTATGAAATACTGTTTTTTTTCAATCTTCAGCCAATCTTCCATAGAACAAATTTCAGTCTGTTAACTTTGTCTTAGTCGAACATTGTTGATTCAGGACTTAGATTCGCTATCGTGCGGTGAAGGCGATGACTCCGGGCCCGATCAGATGGACACCATCAGCATCGGCTCCACTCCCAAACCCTCGCTGAGACCATTCTTCAGCAGCTCTAGGAGTCTTGCCAATCAGGACCACCATCGGCATTCCAATGGTATATTATTACAGATCATAATATTATGTAGTCATATAGCATAAAGAAAGGGTTTTATTTAACTTCTTTGAATAAAACGAAAAAGAAATAAAGTAAGAAATTAAAACAACTAAAACTAACAAAGATAAGACATAAATCAATCAACAATAACTTGTTTGGTTTCAGAAAACAAAAGTAATTTTTGAAAACAGTTTATAATATTAGAAGATTTTATAATTCTTAAAAAAATAAAATAATGTCTGTGTTTCCACGGTTTACCAAAAAGGGGTGTATTTAAGTTATACCAACAAATAGTATTTAATAGTATAAGTTCATAATAAAATTAGTGCCTTGTATTGAACTCAAAAAGTCCACTTATTATGGACAAATGCGAATTTAAGGTGTTGAAATAAAAATATAATCAGTGCATCGTGTGATGGCTTTGTTTTTGTTTTGCATCACTTAATACAGTACTATAGGTGTGACATTTTTCATTGCATAATTTTGTGTTATTTGTGTGCATAGTTTAGTGCATGCATGGGTTCGGAGTGGCGGTAACACTTTCACACTAAACATGCATATTGTTGGTGAATTCATGCATCGACATTGTCACTTTTGCACATAATATTCATCATGCGCGGACACGGGACTCGTATCATTCATTGCATTATATATTTCAATACAACAAATGTCCAAAACCAAAATAGGCCGGCAGTACATCTTCTTTAAATTCGGCTGCATTCGACCTCCTATGATACATTGTAATTTATTCAATCTTCATTGATCAAAAGATTGCTTTAAATTACTTAGGAAGTTTAATGATTTTAACATTTAATTCAAAAAAGGTCTTGAAATACCAATCAAATGGTTTTCTTGTTTTGTCAGACATTTAATATTTATATAGACATTAAGAAAATACCCTTAATTATAGTAATTTCTAGTCTTACAATTTCTTGACAAATAAGTATAAGTACCCGCGTACGTACCGATATTCCGTGCCCGTATCCGCGCATACACTCAGCCGCCACTCGTGCCCATCGTAAGCGTAACGCATGCGCAGTGACGCGGCACGCCAGCCTCGCGTCCGCGGCCGAGCTACGCCCGCGAGAACGACATCAGGCCACCCTGTCATTCACAGGTACTACATCACCACAGACTGTATGCAATACCCTAGCTAATAAACGCTTGAGATATCATTGTGAATCTTAAATTCTTCATATAAAAACATTGAATTGCCAGACTGATTTATGAAATTATTGGAAAAAACAAATTGATAATTTGAGTAGAATTTGACCGTACTACTGAGTTTGTGTGTGTTTTTTCGATTTCGTGAGAACCAATATCGGCGTTCTTTTGCAACAATTGAGTAAAAATTTAATATGAATGTTTTGGAAGGTTTTTCTATAAGGTACAGTACATTAAAGTTAATTGTCATAATTTGGTGTATCATATCTAAACAGTAACTGTTATTGCATATTGTTTTAATATTTATGGTTATGTATTCATCGCCTTCAAATACAATTTGAAATAAAACTTGTATCCGAATAATTTCAAGTTGTATTAAAATCAACTCGCACTGTAGTAAGCTTTTTGTCTTTTTTCATTCTTGTTTTAATTTTGCTTTTCTCTTTGTATAATAGTTTGTAGTATGCTATCTAACGACAATTTATTCAAGAACCTGAAACTTTCAAATGTACTGCTATAACTGTCAAGTTTCCTTTAAAACTTTGACTCGGTGTAACTTCTAAATCCTTAATATTTCCCATGCACAAACCCTTGGAACTCAAACTCGATATCTATTGCTATTTTATATCTAAACAAACTTATAAAAAGGTCCTTTTAAACCCTGTTTGTAACTTAATTAATAAATAAATTCAAACAACAAGCTCTATATGAATTTAAATTACCCTTTAACATTCTTACAACGTAAATAATGTGACCCTACATTTTTAGAGTCAGAAGCAGTTCGTAGTTCAGCTGGTGATGAGCGTGGCAGTGAAGGTAATAGTGATGGTGATGCAACACTTGATGCTCCTGTCTCTGGTGCCTCGGTTTCTAGCTCCCCACCAAATGAAACGAAGGTATCTAATCATTCATTTACTGATAATTCACATTTAAGGTGTTTTTCGCTCGACCTCTGAACCTTTTATGTTTCTACTTGTTTTTTTTCCTTTTTTATATTTTCCAGGAGGACAAGCGATCACGTCTGTTTCGCAGTGCTACAAGCGGTGGAAACCTAACACCAGCATCCGGCGCAAGAAAGAAGAACTCTCTTGTGATAGGCACTGAAAGACCACTTTCAGCCCATGATCTGCCCGCGTTGAGTCCAACAACGCTTGAAGTAAGATTTAGCTCATTATTCCTTCATACGTTTGTGTATGTAATCTCGGCATCCAGAGGTACCGAGAGCCTATTTTCGTTTCTTTTATTTTAATGATAGAGGAGGACAAGCATGGGTTTTCACTTGATGGAAGCTGAAATACCCCCGCCATATAACATCTACACAAGATATCGACTCATTTTGGCTTCGGATATTCGGAAATTCACAAACTGAAACCGAAACACGATGAAACTTCACGGCGCTTTCACTTTGGACGGTGGTTCGTGACCCGGACGGAGTGTCGATATTTTATACCGCCCATTTCCAGATTTACAGACGAAATCCAATAGGTTTTAGAAAAAATACATGTTTAAAATTTGGAAACCTGTATTTTTGGTGAGGACCGAACCCGAAAACCGTTGGTTATTAGCCCTATATTGCTACCATTAGACAAACGAGCCCGTCGAAATTCCTATTCTGTTATCTCTTTTTTCAGCCACGTCGTACAATGGCTGAACAGGTTAGCCGAGTGCTTGGTGAAGAGGGTCCTGTGCCCGAGTGCGTGGCAGTTGCCCCTGGAGCCCTAGCTAGAGCTTTACAAGCTCTTGCAGTGCCAACAGCTGTTGCACCGCCCGGAGTCGTGCCAGATGCCAGACCTCTGTTGCAAGCAGTATTAGCTCGGGCCGCGAAACAGTACGCGTTATTACTTAATATAACACTACGTTATCACACGGTGATAAATCCTTTTCGACTGCATTCGAGTCGTCGACATATTTTGAATTAAATAAAAATAAGGAAAAGGTCCTTCGAGCCGGACAAAAATACATAATTTACTAAACCACAAGGTATATTAACTACTTGTCTAGTTCTTTACTTAGTAGAATAATATATATTAGGAAGTTAGTAATACAATGGAAAATTCTATTTTTGATACAGAGGCAGTCGACGTGCGCTTCGGATCTGCGTGTGTGGCGGCGAAGCAGCTGCAGCGGGTGCGTTGCGGGCGCATGCAGAGCTAGCCGCGCGACGTCCGCACGACGCCCCGCCTATTAGATACTATATCATACCAGTTGGTGAGTACAACTGTTGCCACATACGAATCAGTTCAAAAGCTTTCTGGACAATTCATATAATGAAAGACACTATCAACGACCATCTCATGTCATTGCTGATCAGATTGCACGATTTTATAAGAGCTACTTAGTTTAAAAGACGAGAAGAAGTGTTTAGTACTTTTTATGAGTAAATGATTAAAGACCTCTCTGCCCATCGAAACAAATGATTATTTCCCCGGTTTCAAACCCAGGACCTTTTGTGTTTATTGCGATGACAGGCTACATGTTTAAAGACAGAAGAATAGAGGTGTTAGTATTGTCATTTGTGATTGATATGAAAATTGTGGAATATTTATTATATTTTTCAGTTGATAATTTTGTTGAACGTTGTTGGACTTCGTTTGGAAATTTGGATATTTTGAATGGTTGGCAGAAATATCGAAAATTCCGTCCGGGTCATGAACTACCGTCCATAGATGAAAAAGCCGAGAATCGCGTATCGGTTTCAGTCTGTAGATTTCCGAATATCCAAAGCCAAAATAGGTCGATAGCGCATCTTGTGTAGATGTTATATGGCTGAGAGATTTCACTTCCCATCAAGTGAATCCCATGCTGGTATGTCCTACTCTATCATTTGAAAAAATTGCAGGCCAATGTACAGTGTCGCGTTACCTGTCCGCGGCGGATCCGACGTACGCAGCACTCTTCGCCAACGACACGTGGACGTCACTGTGCGAGCGAGCGCCCGAAGCGCACATGGCCGACGTAGCTGAGATGTCTTCCAGGATCGCCAGGTATATTTTGTCGTGAACTTGTTAGCTATAAGCTTGTAAGGTCCCTTCAAAATTCCAGGTGTTTTGAAAACTCGCCTGAAATAAATATAGAAACGTAGCCAAATCTATTTATAGATAATTTGTAACGTAAAAGTATTTTGTAACTAAATGAAGAATACTTAAGTTACACTTACAGCTTATATACTAACATTATGTGATAAAAGTGATGTTAAATATAAAATTGAGATAATACGGTTTATGATTTTACATATTCACTACCTAATGATAAGCTTAGATTAGTATGTTTATATATTTCAAAAGCAAATATGTATGTATGAATCTAGTCCCCATATCCACTGTAACATCCAAAACGTGGGTGCGGCAGCAGTAATAACAAAAATATAATTCTGAATACATACATTTAATTTTGCAGGTATCTGAACAGCATCGGTCCAGTGAATAACGTCCCAATCGGCGAAGCAATGGTCGCGTATCGAGACAAATCAGCCGACGAAGACTCTAGTCAGACATTTGTTCCTTTTATTTCTGTAAGTCGTTTAAGATATATACATAAGACATGGAACCTTAGTTCCTTAGTGTTAGAGTCTAAATTACATTGCACCAGAGGTAAACTTAATTAAAGCCAATATTCTTCAATATTAGGAAGTACGTGTGGGATGGTCGGACCCCTGTAGCACGTCATTGGAGGGCGAAGACGGCTCCCCACCCGCGCGTCCTTCGCCCCCTGCGACGCCCGCCCCAGATCCTCTGCCGCCTTCGCATGACCCGCTGGAGTTACAGTTGGACTACTGGCTGGTAAGAAAGCTAGCTACAAAAATATATTTTTGCTTCTATTTTAAATTGTATATAGATAACTGATCAATAGTGTCAGTTATCTATACAAATTTAAATATCCTTATGGATATTTAACGGTCCTAAAACCTGTAAAATTGTTTGTAAAACCTCTGAGGAAAACCTTGATACGCAGGTGTTAAGGTTGAAATTACACTGCGCGAGAGGTGCATGTATCAATATAATAAAGCCTGAAACTCTGTTTTGTGTAATTCTTAATGATTCAATTGTATCTTAGTGAAATAGTATATATGTCAGACAGTATTACCATTTATTTTATTTATTTAATCTTACCACAATTACTGACATATGTAACTTAAACTTAAAATATGTAAAAAAAACAACAATTACAGACAGACACCAAATGCAAAATTAAACAAAGACAAAGTGAAGACTCAATTGTACAAAAAGGAAAACATTTGTAACAATAGCTTATTACTATGATATACCATTATATAACTAATTATTTGCACTTAAGGTTAACAAACAGCATAAATTAAACTGGGCGGGCTGAAGTTAGCAAATTACCAAATTTTCTGGGTGAGTCCAGGTGTAGATCTATTAAGTCACTATGCTTATTTACGACTTGACAACAACTCGATCTAATTTATGTAAACAACGCAAAGAGTAAGCCTTTATTTTTTGGCTTCAGCGCATATTATATTATGTGTGTATGACTGATGAAATGATAATATTAGGTGGGCGGTACTAGCGGTAAAAGTGCTGAAGGAAGTGAAGCGGGAGGTGGGGGAAAAGTGACGGTCAAAGCTGCCTTCCGAGCACTCCTGGTCACGAGGCATAACCACCATCTTGCTATCACCTACCTCACTAAGGAGAAGAAACAAAAGAGTATGTAGCATATAATTTAAAAATATATTTTTATATGTTAGAAAGACAGGCTCTTTGATTTTCCGACGTTTGTCTTAGATATTAACATGCCAGAGGCAAGAAAGATTTTCCTATCTATTTGACTAGATTTACAGGCTATTTAAATAAGACTTCTGTGCCTTGCCCAACCGAAACTATTTCTTATATTTCTTTAGCAATAGAACCCGGGACTTATTCAACAATATGCTATGCTAAGTAATAAAAGTAAAACACAAAACTAAAAGCTAAATTCATAATACTACATTTTTTATTGCCTGTTATAGTAATGCGTCTCGGTAAGAAAAAGGAAAAGAGTGGGGATAATGAAGCCGGGAGAGCACACAGCGTGGAGGGGGTTGCGCGACTCATTTGCTCTGCCAAGGGCTCGCATACGCCGCTTAAAGGTATGAAGCTAATTATGATAAGACAAAAGGACAACATTTAATAAAATGATAATATTTGTAATAATGTGTATTATATATATATATATTAATGTATATGTGTCATTTTTTAAGAAATGTTATTATAGCGTGACACAGCAAACCTCTCAAAGTTGTATATTTTACGACTCAACGACGGGCCATGGTCAAATAAATTACCTGATATATACCTCTCGTTTTTTTATTTATTTGTACTACTCGCGTCAAGCACAAATAATACTTAAATGCAGCTAAGTTTTTAAGGTAATTTCATCGTGAACACAAAAATGTAAATTACTTTTTAAAAATTTCCAGTATACATCGACGGTACAGAATGGAACGGAGTGAAATTCTTCCAACTATCGACCCAGTGGCAGACGCACGTAAAGTCTTTCCCGGTCACGACGTGCAGCGCCCCGCTCGCCTCACTGGCTCCGCTAGCGCCCCAGGAAACTTAGGCCGTAATAACACGCTACAGAATACTAAACAAACAGTAGCGACACTTCAAAACACTGGATAATAGATGTTATGGATAGCAAAATTTTATGTAGATCAAATAAACTAGGCAGATAGCTTTTCAATCTAATGCATATTTACGTTTTGGCATGTGCGTTATAAATTAAAGTAAAGTGCGTGATTTTGAAGTGCCTACTGGACAGCATATTCTGTGGTCAAGATATTAATTCGCTTCGGCTTCCATTGGCTTTACCTGAACGGTTATTATTGCTGTTCATCAATACGAAGGTAGCCTAGTATTAAACACTATTGTGGGTATCTAGAAATCTAGACTGGAGCTGAACCGGTCTCAACCTGGACTCGACACAAGAGGCTATGTTCTATATATGTTCAAACTGATTTGTGTCTGTTGCGTTACTTAATTTATCGAGCTGCCATTTTGTAAGCTTTTGTTGTGTGAATTGAATTACGTGGTCATAGATTCGCTTATAACGTTAGTTGGTTTAAGCCGTTGCAATTTGCTAATTTTATACAGACAGTCGTGGATTTTAAGATTAGAAAGTTAAGCTGTTCGCAACAGTATATTCAAACTTAAGCTGTTTAAAATATCGATGTTGATAAATGTATTTCAAATTGCATAATAATAGGTCAACATAGTCATGTAGTCGTTAGTTAGTTCTGTGTACTCAATAATGATAATTCATGGTTCGTGACATTTCCAAGTGTGTAAATATAGAGACGTGTCTGTACTAACTTAAAATAGTGTGGACACGCCGCTTCGGTGCAGGTGAAGCCGAATTACGAGTTACAGCACATATCAGATAGGCTCGTGCTGGGTCGAGCGCGGTTTTTTAATCTGTGATTATTTTTTGTAGATAGACGATAAGTCTAGCTTTCGGTAGACCGTAGATCACTTTCAACTTGACAACGTGTCAGTATTAAATTGATAACCAAACGTAACGAATTACTCCGAGCCAGCTTAGAAAAGTAGTTTTCTATTGCTGTGTCAACCTATTAAGCTTCGACCTCTATGTGTAACTTTAGTCTGTGGCTGTGTAAACTTTAGGGTGTTTGTACACTATTGTTGTATATTGACGCTACGTGATCCCGGTTGATTTGACACTGCGGTGCTCTTCCGTTTATTCGTTACATTTCGTATCCGGTGTGCCAAATATTCAACGGTTGTCGCGTTTGGTACCTTCCAATTCATTTTATGTTATCCGCGGCTTTCATTACAATGGCAAAAGTGTTTTAGTCTATTACTACAATTCGTGATTATACTATTACATTAATAATCTACTGTTTCTATCAAACTACGTCTATTCTATGCGTGTAGAACTTGAATTTAAAAGTTACAAAATCGCTGAGAGATTTGTGCTTACAAATCGTAGTTAAACTTTTATTGGAACTCCTAGGAATCTATGGACAATAATAGATAATATCTCTCAATAAATAGGTATTCTCAGATTCTTTGTTCAGATGTGTAAACCATTATAAAAAGTTTTATAACAAGTTCTGAAGGACAAAATCAACATTTAACAAAGAAGTGTGCCACAAGCTGATTTGGCTTTACTTTTAAGTTTTATAATTAATTCCTCTTATCTAATATATATTGTTCATTAGTAGTTTATTTGAAACTATTTTCAGTGATTATTAAGATGAAATAAATAGCGGCAATACAAAAAGCACATTTTGGTCCTTCGAGCCAGATTAGGATGTGGTACAATACCGAAGGCCAATCTGAACATCAAACTTATCTATCTACAATACTACAATACATATAATCTTTACCTTATTGGGGAACCTGCATACTATACATATATTGTCGTTAGCTGTATAGTTAGCAGAGTCCTTTATAGTGATGATAGCACAAAATATATCAACTAATCATAGGATTTGTTTATAAACTATGTACTAAGAAACATTATATCAGTGTTAGGTTAGAAGTTACAAATGCATGTATTGTATATGACATTTCAAATATTGTGGTTAGTCGTAGTTTGCAGTCGTGTAAGGGAGTTTTTAAATGACTTCGTTTTTCTCCTTATTTTTGAATTTGTATCTATTGAAATCAAGGGCTGATTTCGTTTTCAGACATCACTTATCCACCACCCAGTGCCCTCAACTCTGAACTATAAACCGCTAGTATTATTAGAAGAAACAACAATCCTTCCCGTGACTAGACATCTACTGCGTAATAAAATATCCTATGCCATGATAATTAAACCTCCTTGAATAAAAATCTTTTACACGACTGCATTTATCCTAGATATTATAAAGGCTACGCAGTGCGTTAATTGTCGCTACATGGCAAGAGTAAGAAGCTCAAGTGATCATTATGTCTAGAGGCCTAGCCTAGCGATCTGTTTAAACTCTTTTCTATAAGGGTTTGGGACGGCGCTGTCTGATAATTCTGTAACATATCCACTTTTAAGTATGTCTAGTACGGCTCTAAGTGCTTTTAGCTCAACGCTACTTCTGTATAGCAGCATTTAATCCAAAGCCAAAATAGGACGACAGGACTTCCATCAAGTGCCCCACGATTGCCTGTCCTCCTGTGAAAAAAATCCTGAAAGTAAGAAATGTTTTGGACTACTTGTGTAGCTTTTCTTTAACTTATATGATCAGATGCTTCAAGGTAAAGTGTAATCTATTCAATGTCCTAATCATAACATCTTAAATAGCATCACAAATGTATGTCAACACTCTTAGCATTGTACTATCAGACAGCGTCGAGTCCAAATGTATTCTATAATAATATTCGTTTTGAAATATGTATTTCGTTTTAATGATCTCATTACTACCGACTGTCTTGGCGTTAAGCAGTCCATTATGGCACCGTAACACGCTCACATTGTGACAGTTTCGTCGTTCTTATGTAAGTCTGTATTCATCATATATTTGTAATCATCTATATAACCGCATACTCATCAAATGTTTTGCAAGCAATAAATCGCAAAACCATTGTCATTATTATGAATTTTAAGTTAATTTAGTACAAAAAGATATTTTATGTTTCTCTATTCTGTTAAGTTATTTATAACTCTTTATTGATTGTATGGTGCAAAACTATCCCTGTTTAATTTTATATGAAGTAAATGTCTTGGTTTAATTAATTTCAACATGATTGTAATGTTAAGTGAAGTCATGAAATTTAATTATATCATAGTTTGCAGATATGATTTGTATTTATTGTACAAATAACATTTTTGCATTAAAATTTAAGGGAATTTTCATTTTATTTACTTATATTTTAATCAATTGCCATTTATTACAAGAAACAAACTGGAAAGAAAGTATCAAATTTATTTACCTATAAACTACAACATTAATATAATAATTAATAAATTTTATTTCTACAATAAAAGTATCTATAAAAATCTTTAAAGGCCTTTAACAATTAAAAACTGGTTTCTTAAGCCTCTCTCTCCGCCCATGCCACCATCTGGCAAGATATACAGTAAGCCATCCTCCTTTTTCTTAGGTGAAAACTCTGATAAATTCTTATTACTGCTATCTAATTGTGCTAGAGGCCAAACAGCTAGATACTTTGATTTTCCATGTCTGCAGAGAATGTATGTGTTATTAGGATCTGCGGAGTAATCTTCTTTTGGTTCTTCAATTACAATTATTCCACAAACTAATGCCCAGTGTGCTGTGTGTCCATGCCTTAAGCATGGTGAATGATTGCAGTCTGCATCATACCTGATAAACTGCTAAGGTCTCAAAATAAACAAATAAAATTACTACATTATGATTCCTCTGGAAACCAACAATAATATATTTACCTAATAACTTCCTATATGGCAACTCAAGAGGCTTTCTTTTCCACAATTTTAATATATTATATTTTTGCTTAACCCCATTAGATGTTTTAATTTTGTTCTTGGTATGTGAGCAACTTTAAAGAGTAAATTATATATTTTATATGGATTTCAGACTTTTCTCCTCATAACTATCATTTTGCATTAGGTTAGGTATTTTCAAGGCTAATAAATGTGTCAATAAGACATACAATATGTTATGTGATTAAATAAAAGGTTAATGCATTTTTTGGATTCTTAAGTTGCCTATTTAGTCTCGCATATTATAAGAAAAAAGGCATTTATAAGATACATTAAAAAGGATACGCAACTAATAGTGCAGCACCATTCAATAATTCCTGTATTGTTTCCTCTCTGTAAAGTTCTTGTCTTACCTCTACCCTGACATTACTCTTTTCAGTTAAACAAATGACTTTCTCTGTCAATTTAGCCATATTATGGCAACTGAACATCTCTCCATTACTACTGAAGCCTTCAGCCTTCACCATATTCAACAACTCATCAGGTCTTACATCTCCTTTAAATAACATAGCTAAAGCTACAAGACCACAGGTTGGACCCACTTGCGCTATTGGTTCATAATGTTTATATTTATATTGATAAGGAGGTTTGTCTAGACATATGCTATTTATAGCACAAGCTTCCCTCAGTTCAGGTTCCAAGGCCCATTGGCATATATCATAATTTTTATTAATTAAACTAGTGGTTTTGGATATTTCGGATGAATTAATAAGGTCCAGAGACGGTAGTGGTGGTGGCACGGGCGGATTTGTACACATTATATATTTATACCAACACACCAAATTGGTAATATTTATTATTCTTATAAACTATTTCATATAGTTTTGTACTAAAGTCACTAAAACATGATTTAAAGGTTTACTTTATATACGACAATAACAGCGCTTATAACTTACTAAAACAAAGTTATATGTGATTTGACATTACTGTTTTTTTTTTATTTGTGGCAAGAAGAATTAACTATTTGCCAGTGTCAAGACATTACTGTTACTTAAGAGTTAAGAGAAATTCTAAATTGTAATAGTTTTTTTTTTTCATTTACAAGAGTCAATTGTCAAGACAAAGAATTGGTTAATTAATCATTGTTAACAAGCGTTTACGTACAGCCTTACTATGTTTATATAGTATCTATAATTTATTATTAACCAAGTTAATACTAAAAATAAGAAGTTTGGCCATTTTCTAAAAGAATACGACTTTTATAATGGTATTCCGAAGTCGTAAAAAAAAACGCTGCTAAAGTTAGTCCATAGGGTATATTTTATATTAGGTCATTAATTATTAAACCTAGCAACCACTAGCAACACTGCAGAAAGGCGAGGCAATAGGCATATTAATTTTTTTCGCTAAATCATTGAATGTTTATAAGTTCTGAATACGAGGGCTTAATAATTAAGTATTTGTTTAAGTGGTTGTAAGTTTGGGCCAGGTACGGTTATCTGGTTGCAGTTTCAGTGCAACAGCTGCCTTGAAGATTCCGTCATGTCGGAGTCGAGAAAAAACCATCTATCTATAGACGGAGGCCAGGTGAAAGAAGACGAGCATGTTTCTTCGTACAAACCAATACCCGAAAATGATGGAGGTAATTATAATTTTAATATATTTCCGCGACTTTCAAGGCAATTATAATTGGTAGTTTCGGGTTACGAAGGTCAAACGATTTGAAAGTGATGTTATTTATTGTAGATGAAATACCACATTTTTGCTTAGGTCAACGCGTTAGAGCAAATTAGGGATTTAATTTTGTTATCAGCTGATCCTTGACATAATACGCTTAAACAAAAGGCCACAAAAAATTAAGAGTTTTTGAGAGAGTACATTATAATTTATTTATTTATTTTTTGTTAATATTTCAGCACTCGTACTTTTAATGCTTGTGTTTTATATGTCATTAGATGCGTATTTTAATGCTTTAAGTCGTGTTTAATTTTGCTGTTAATTAACCAAGATGAGTAGAACAATAAGTCCCTTTGCTTAAAATATTTGTTACGATTCAAATTTTATTTTCAATAAAAGCAGAGTAAGAAAAATAAAAGTGTATTATTAAAAATTTCATCTCATATGTTGAGGAGATAATATTTATTAAAAAGAATAACATAAAAATCTTCTTTTGAATTTAATTTTTAAAAAAATAAAAACTCAACTTTTATTACAAAAAGTTGTTTACCACATAAAAAATAAGATAAAAATTAAAATTCTAAAACTCAAGGCACAATTTTAAAAAGGCGGTTTCATGTTATTATTAATTAACAACTGTACTTACTATTTTACGCTTAAGTAAGTCTCTCTGTAACAAATTTAACTATGTTTAAAGATTAGAATAAAAAGCTTCATAATACTTTGATATAAGAATACCTATTTTTTTTTATCTGGAACATTTAGCTAAGAATAATTTTTTGTGTGTCGTGGTAACACGTGTTAGAGTTGGGTTGCCTTTTGGTAAAGTGGGAATATTTAAATCTGTTCGTCAAAGTCTTAAAAAAAGCTTGTTTCAGTTTTCTTAATCAAATTTTATATTGCATTCAATTTTTTCATTCTTAAGTGTAGTTACCAGAGCAACGAGTTACTCGAAAAATTTTAATTTTAAGTTAATCTTTTTCTTACTGTTTTAATAATGTTGAAATTGGCAAAATTTCAAATTGTAATATTTCTCCAAATAAGGTTAGTCCTTTTGGTTCCTTTAAATTTTTTTAGTTTTAGTTTTGGAAATTTCATAACATAATTTTGAATTGGTTTAAAAGTATGGCTCAGGTTAGTCCGCAATAAAAATATGCGTTCACTGAATATCCGCCGATCGGAATGCAAATCAGCATAAATTGAAAAACCAATGACTGGTGTCTTTGGGATTGAATTTTTTATTTTGGATTTTGATTATGGCCCTTTTGTTTATAAGCAGCGACATGTCAAGTATAATGCGGCCAATTTTAGCAGATAAGTCAATTTAAGCGACAATTAAAATCACTTTTCTTACTTGTTTAACAATTAAAGTTTTACTATAAAACAAGAACGGCATAATGCAATACAGATTATTTTAAAATATGAACTTCTTTGTAATATGTCTTTAGCGCTACTCGGTTTATTTCACACGACATCTTAACTTTGTCGACCAATAAAGCGCTTTCATTGGACGAGCATCGCCACACGCAGCGCCATTTTGTCGATACTCCGCTGAATGATGCAATCCGTGGATTGTTTTCATCGCTTTTGTGATTTATTTTATACACTGACTGAAATTTTGTAACTTTGAAACAATTTATTTCATAAAAAAGTGTATTTGAGGATTTGATAGGTGCAACCGTTCGACGATCGGCTTATATGACCCAGGAAGTTTTAATTTAAGTTGAGGACAGTGAATACAATCCACCCAGAATTAATTCAATTGCCTTACAATATCACAGACAGTGAATTTAAAGTAATTGTGATATAAGATTTCATTTTCAGTTATAATTGAGTATATAGACCACAAAGGATATATGCAGCTTAATGAATCCGATGTGATGGAGTCTCAGGATGATATCGATGATCACTGGGACAGAGAAATTATCATCGGTATGCTTAAACTATATCTTGAGAATATTGAAAAGTTCAGAAACCCTAAGATAAGGAAAAAGAATGTCTGGATAGAAATTGGAAACGCTGTAGGCAAAGCTGCAGATAGTTGTGATAAGAAATTCCGTAACCTAAAACAAACATATATTCGGTTGCTACGGAAAAGAGACAGAAATGGCATGTCAACAGTCAAATGGCCATACTTTGATTTGTTTGAGGAAATTTATAATATAGATGGAGAATATCAACCTGAAATACAGCAGAAACTTAGAGATGGCACTAGCGATAGGATAGTCAAAGTTCTACGGAATATGGGTTCGAGTAGCAAATATGACATAAAAGAAAATGGGGAAGCAAATGTGGAAAACGATGAAGTTAAAAGACGGTTACTAAAGAAACGGAATGCTGAGTTTAGGAAAGTTACCTTAGAGCTAAGAGACAGACAACGCACTGTTGAACAGAAATTGGATAGGCTAATAGATATAGTTGAAGAGTCAAACAGTATTCAAAGAGAAAGAAATAGGCTTTTTGAAGAGTTCTTAGAAAAGTTGAACCAAAACCAGTAAAGACTGCCCTTGTAAATATTAATAACTATTGATTTTTATACATGATTGTGATTGATTGTAATATAAGATTTATTATACTGATATTAATAAAATAATGATGACTATTTTACATAAAATATTGTTTTAATGAAAGATACATACAAATATAATACTGAGATGAGATTGCCATTAAAGATATATTTAAGTTCTTTGAATCTCAGAAACAATATAATATGTAGTAGGGACATGAATACTTTTTGTGTTTCAAAAAACTATGAAATACCTAATGTCTGTTAACTTAATATGTTATTTTTGGGCATTAAACTCTACAAACAGATCAACACACACAAACAGTAAGATGTAGTTAGAAGTTCTAGTGATACAAAAGCCCATCAGTTCACTACTTGTAATAAGAACTTCGTCCCTCCATTACTTTTACTGTCAAATAAAAATAGATGCACCCTATTCACTTTTTGTTACTTCACAATAGTGGCCTAGAATCGAAGGGCTTGTACAGCCTTAGAACAGCGGCATGTAACTAATATACAAACTTCACTGAAGCTAAATAGAAATGCAATTGTGCCGCGGTGTTTGACGATGAATAATGCAGTGATAGTTGCGCTGTACGACTTTCCTATTCTACGAAATTGAGAATATTATACAAGTAATGATTTATAAATTGTACCTACCTATATAAAACACTTTTTTATTATTATAAATAATAATATTTCGCCAGTTCGCATCCATCGCTCAATGATTAGGAATCACAGCTATTTCTAGACTTTCATAATAAAAAAGGAATAATATTAATTCAATATTTATTTTTAAAGTTTTTTTATTAAACCAAGAAAATGAGGTGGACGCGAATTATGAAATTTCCACTTTGCTTCCAGTGGACCGACCTCTTTTCCTAACTCTTTCAACCAAATGATACCTAAATGCCGTCCTTATTGAGAATTGGTTTTTTAAACTACTCAATGACAAGCATTTTTCGAAACCCTAAACAAATTGGCGGCGATAAATAATTTCTTCCTAAAAAAAAGGAAAGCGCAATATTAAATGGTCAGTAGTATTTTTTGAATTAGTTTTTTGTTTCTGATGAAATATCTTTAGCATATTCAACAGTATTCAAAACCGCAGTATGCATAATCTTAATAATAATTATGTATGTTTATGAGTTAAACAAAAAGAAATATATAATACAAGTAATTCTGTTTTCACATCTGTTGTATTTCAAACGCATAATATGTAGGCAAAAATGTTAAGATTTTTCCAACCACGACGACATATCATTTTATTCGATTCATTACAAAGGTGACTATTAAGAGTACACGACTTAGATCAATCATTTTTAGACATTATCACAATTCGCTCGGTCGGTTTAAAATGGATTCAATATTCTTATGTGAGTCCCTTGCCGGTTGCGTTGTCCCCTGGCAATTGAGTTATTTGTACAGTTAGCAATCGTGCTTGGTCGACAGCAAGTGTGCTTCCTCCATTTATTATCCCACGTCGTGTGGTGGCCATTTTAAATAAGTGCCGGGGTAAGATTTTTATATCATCTTAGTTATTTATGTTATATTTCTTTGTTTGAAGGTCTTAAAAAACTATAGTAAATAACTAGTCTATTTAAGTAAATTTATCTTTACTTACAGGTTTAAAACGCGATATATATTAGTTAAACTTATTTGAAAATTATTTTTAACTACGGCCCTACATTTCGAATACTTTGCAGCAGCCGTGGTCACGGGGAGACTGTCTCAATAAAAATAGTGTTTTATAGAAACGAGTACTATTCGCTTAGACTACAGACAGTATTTAAATTGCCTATTCCTTGTTACAAGTCCTATTTTATTAATAATTTAATGTTAGTCATCCTTCTTATATTTTATTTCAAACACTTACCTAATAGGTATTTGACAAATATTTCCGTTCTTCTGATTAACGTTAGGTATATGTATAGACTCATGGCGGTTGTATCTTATATGTTTAACGTCTATAATGCTAAAGTCACGATTTTTTACGTAACCGACAAAAAGAACTAAAATTACCGTTTGTTTATTGTATAATAAGTGTAACATACACAACTATACAAATATACTACATGTGTATATTTTACAAACAACTTATTATTTAGCAGCGATAGCTAGAAACTACATCGTTTTCCCAGTAGACGCAATTCCCCGAAGACCAAATGGTGCGTGATTTTACTAAAAACATTCCACTCCACTAGATTAAAATTTTAATGATAATGACTGCTAACCGGACACCACTCGGTTATTACTTAGCACAGATATTTACTTTCTTTTAATGACTACTTAAACATTTTCTTACTTAGTAATGATAATAATCTATCTATACTAATATTATAAATGCAAAAGTAACCCTGTCTGTCCCGCTTTAACTATAAAATTACTGAACTGAAATTTGTAACAGATATTTTAGAGCCTGAGAAAAGACATAGGCTATGATGAAAGTTTGTATGGAAATTCGTGGTTTTTGAAGCTAGAACTTTCTTCTTTGGCTTTTTGGGAATAGGAGTAGGCGTGGGCGTGGGAGTGAGTGTAGAGATGGGATTAGGAGCTAGAGTAGGAGTGATGTGAGGTGAGAGCGTTGCAGCAAAGTAGCACTAAACATACATTGGCTGCTTTAAATGCGCCCTTACATAAATAATTAAAAATTCTACCCCAAGTCACTATTCCACGCGGACGAAATCGCGGGCACAGCTATTGCAGTATATAATAAAAAAAATGCAGCACTTTCAGCAATGTTGCCAGCTTTTTAAGTAGTTTTTAAATACTAATATGCACGCGAAGGTTTCTGTAGAAATTTTTTCAAGCTTCCAATATTGCCCTGATTTAAATGATACTTGGTAGAGAAATAAAAAAATACTACAGGGCTAAACCTAAGATTATTCTGTGATATATAACTATATATTTACTGTCGGATCTTTGAAAATGTTGTAAAGATAGTTGATAACATTCTTATCTATCTATCACGTGGGACTGATAAAATAATGATTTATTTTTACTATTTAACTTTCCATTAAACTGAATATGATATAGAAGACTTTTATTGGGAAAAACAACATTTAACAAAAATAGTATAAAAATAATTACAAATAAAATATTAATTTTAAGTAGTTAAAGGGTCAGCTACGTTGGGACTAATGTCCCAACACTGATATAATAATATAGAGATAAAACTCATATTAAGACACATTTTGTGTTTGTATGAAAATCAAATACTTACCATACTGAAATAAATAATATATGGAAATTAATAATGACTGTACTCATTTAAATTTACTTAAATCGATTCGATTTTTTTAAATTCCTTCAACGAAGTTTTGTCTTAAAAAAACTACCAATTATAAAGCATGATGTAATAAGTACGTTCTGCGGGCGAGATTCAAAAATGCAGTAAGGGCAGATGTTTTTTGCAAAGAGCGCCGCGGGGTTCTTAAAAGACAATCTTCGCATTGTCTTCCTCGAAATCATTACAGAACCCGTTCCCCTTATTTTTTAGGGTTCTTTGAACATTGCTTTTCGGTTAACGGTTAATTGTGACCATATAGGGCCATTATTAAACCTATAACAAGTAAAAACAATAATTAAGATATTTTAGTAAATTTGGTACTAAATTTATTTTAGGCTCGTTGGTGTAATGGTAGCAATCTGCGGTTAATAATCAACGGGTCGTGGGTTCGATCCCCACCGGATCCAAATCAATTTATTGTTTTTTTTTAACATATTGGACTTCGTCGGAAAATTTGTATATGAAATGGGGCCATAAACCACCGTCCGAACAGATGGAGCTGTGAAGTTCACGTTTCGGTTTTAGTCTGTGGATTTCCGAATATCCAAAGCTAAAACAGGTCGACAGCACATCTTGTTTAGATGCTGGCGATTTCACCTACCATTAAGTGAGCCCCATGCTCGTCTGTCCTCGTCTATCATTAAAAAAAATTACCGATGCACGTTTTTCATGCCTGGCAAATTCATGTAAAAAATAAAGAAATGGTGTAAAAATCTTAACAATAGATAAAAGAAATTGCATTTTGAAAACGACAAATTCTACTTACGTTTTCACAATATCACGTAACGTTATCTTCAAGTGTTTTGCCATTATTGATATTGCGACACATCTATCACTGCAAATGTCGATCGACTTTAAATTGCTGACGAGTACTACTTGAAAAATGCTTACAAAATTTACAGCGAAATAACTAATGCTTACTAGACCAGAATACACAAAACGTGTCTTTATTCGAAACATAGAAAGAGAAGTTCCAGAGAAGAATCTAAACCATATGCATATTATTTGTTTGTATTCAATTTACTTCATAATAATGCAAAAAACAAAGGGGATTTATATTATATAATTCCCTTTTGCGCAGTCGGTAGGGAATTGCATCCGCAAAGAAAGTACAACGGCGCAGTTCAAGCATTTGACTTGTATGTTATCAGTTAACTGGTTTTCACTCTGTGCCATCATAAATCTCGTTAAGATGGACACTGCCAATGTTTCCGTTAGGGCTATCACATTCTCATTGTCTAATATAGTTCATTTTATTTCACAAGACTGAAATCTTATCCTATGTTGGATTTAGTTTTATTGGTGGATCAGGTATTATTTATTTCTTAATACCTATATATTATAACATTTGATCACGTAAACTATTTACGGTATATTGAAGATAAATATTAATAAGCCGTCTATCGCGACAAGAGTTACTGTATAATATTTTTTATCACATAGTTTTTGACAAAGTCTATAGATAAAGCTTATTAAAAAAGCTCCCCGTTAAAATAAACTACAATATACTATATTAATTTATTTGCATATATTTATATCTACCTAATAAAATCTACAACAGTGACAACCCTAACGTTGTACTCTTTGAAATCGCAGTGGGCCAGTTTGTAGACTGTAGGGGCAGTATAAAGACGACCCCTGTCTGAACGGACGTAATTCTGGGAGCAACAGAATATGATCAGTGTTTTTTAAAGTATTTTACCGTTGCATAAGGATTGTTACTTTATATTTTATTCCTGTAACAGAATTCTATATGAGTAAATTGGATTCTTGTCTCAGTATTGTATAGTGGAGGCGTCATTTAAAATTTCTTCACTTTTATTTTGCTGCTGGCTTCGGTGAGTTTAACTCTATTGTATATAGAAATAGCTAGAAACTAAAATTGTGTTATTTATAACTCAATTGTTATGTTTAAACACCATTTCACAATACTGCTAGGCAGTTTAAACAAATAAGGCCAATTTTGTTAATTGGATAATATCGACTGTCCAGCGTTCGTTACAGTATAAAGGAACTAAGCGGCTTTTGTAGAACTATTTTAAGAGTTTAATAATAATACAAGTAATGGTTTTAAAAATACCTAATCTGTAGTTGGATTGACGGCTTGGTTTGTTTACTACCCTCCTTTAGAATAAAAATATAGGTAATACGGTTATAATATACTGCAATTTATTATTTATGACCTGCTCCACACGTACACGTGTATTATATATTTGTTTCATCCCATCCAGATTTCCGAACATCGAAGACCAGTCTTAAGAAGGAGAAGGGTTCTGGTGACGAGGCTGAAGAGAAACTGCTGGCCAAGGAGGACGAAGCCAAGATAGTAACAAGGGTCGACATGGCTGACGCTAAATACGTCGTGGAAGACCACAGGAATGGCGACGCTAAGATTGAACTTGATGCTAATAAGCGGGTATTTCAAGTTTTTGATACATTTGCAAACAAAGCATTTAAGTGATGATTTTTTTATATGTAAAGCGTTAACACTAGTTTGAGGTCTTACTTCCGGACTACCTACAAAGTACTGTGTCCTGTAACTAGCTGTGTCAGCGACTTTGCCCGCGTCGAATAGTTACGTTGGGCATCATAATTTGTTTTTGCAAACCGCCTCTTCATTTCAAGCTTCATTTTCATTTCCTACGACGTCTGTCGCGTCCCGTCTTTTTTGCAAGTTAATCTTAAAAGATAGACAGTGTCGCGGACATTTTATAAGATCATTTTAGAGGAATCATTCTTTTATGCATATTTTTGGGAATCTTGAGCCGTAGCAGCATATGCAACAGAAACCCATAGAGATGAATAATTTTCCCCATTTTCTCCATATTTCTTCGTTCATATCAGTGGCAGCGGCATGCCCGTCTATAACCTTCCTCGATAAATGCTCGAATCAACACAAAAATATTTTTTCAATTCCAACCAGTAGTTCCTGAGATTAGCGCGTTCAAACAAACAAATTCACTCTACAGCTTTATATATTAGTGTAGATTGACTTGTTGATACATTTGCAAACAATAGAAAGCATTTAAGTTAAGATATTTTTATATGTAAAGCGTCAACACTACAGGCCATACTTCTGTATTACAAAGTATTGTATCCTGTAATATTATTACATCAATACTTTTTTAAAAATAGCAGTAGCGATTCCAAATTCCTTCAATTGCAAAACTTCTATGAAGCTCAAATCATCGATAGTGAAGAATTATGACAGCTATTGACTTTACGGACAAATTACATCAATAAAGGACTGTGACTGAGTGTTATCAATAATTTATGACGTCCTCTATATTTGTGTTGGTTTCGCTAATGGCTCCATAATAACATAGTTATATTGTAAATAAGCTGTAGGTTTATTTGGAATTATGACCGAATGCTCGAATCGACCATATATGGTATATCTGATATATGCTCTACTTAAATTGTAACTAATATATTACTAATGATATTACTTATTTACCTGATTTGTCTAATTACCAATATAATAGAGTTAAAGAGTTTGTTTGTTTGAATGTTCCGCGACAGTATATGTCTATCTTTTAAGAATTACTTGCATGAACAACGGGACGCGGATGATGTCGTGGGTAACAGCTTACATTTATAGAGTTGAACAGGAAATTTGTAAGACCAAGTTTTGATGCCTAAAATGACATAGCTAGTAAATCATTACGCGCATAAAAGATTAAAGTCCTTTCGCTTAACGGACTTTTTGGTGATGCAACTAAAGGGAGTAAATCAAAGTATTACATTTCTAGCAATTCACCGGTCTGACCAAAGAGGAGCTAATGAAGTACGCCGACGACCCGTTCTGGGTGCGCTTGCGCTGGTTCATGTTCGTGCTCTTCTGGGCGATGTGGCTGTGCATGTTGGCCGGGGCCGTCGCTATCATCATTCGCGCGCCCAAGTGTGCACCCCCGCAGCCACGCACCTGGTCAGTATAAATTCCTTATAGACGAGTGATATAGATATAAACTTACAGAGACACCCATTGCATCTTGGTCCCAAAAAGAAAACGAACCAAAAAAGTACCAAAGTCACGGGTGAAATGGTTAGCAGCGTACGTGGAGTGCTCACCCGGTCTTCTATCCGTAATATAAATTATAAAAAATATATACCAATGTCAAACACACGATATATGCGTTTGTGAAAACAATTGTTTTGCCCTAATTACTGAATTTACAATAGTAATAAATAATAATTCACAAGGTGAGATGTAAACTTTAACATCTTTTTAAATGCTAATCTCAGCTCATCTAAATGTTTTCCAGGTTTTCATTGTATCAAGACGTATAAGTAAAAATGTGAAATAGATAAGATTTTCCCAAAACCATAATGTTATATTCGTGAGTTTAACAATTTTAATTTTATTGGTATATTGATCTTAATTTTAAATTGTAGGTTAGTTTGAAATACATATTTTCAATGTATAAGAATAGTGTCTCATGTCATCCTATAACATAAAAAAGTAACCTACTCATTGTGTAAATAATTTATTTCTTACTTATAATGTACAAATGATTATTTCAGGTTCGAAAAGGGACCCCTGGTTGACGTGGCCGCAGTGGAGGACTACAATGCCATAGACCTGCCTCTACTCCAAAGCTCCAAAGTGGCAGCTGTCTTTGCACCGTCTTGCCAGGACACCTACTCTGTATTAGACGACGAAAATGTAGCTTGTTTGACTCAGTTTAAGGACTTCGTGGGTAAAGCGAAGGCAGCTGGTGTCAAGTGAGTATAAATAATATTTTATGGATAGAAAGTGAGGGATATATTACGAGAGGGGCACCGTAGATAAACGATAAATCTGAATTAAATTTATAAATTCTACCTAAATTAACATTTTTAACGGTTTCGAACGCGAAATATATTAACTTTAATTTGTTAAAACTACGACCGAAGTTTCGGTTGCTTTTCTCGGGACGCAGGGCTATGCACAGTCTCCCCGCGACCACGGCTGCTGATTTTTTTTTATCTAAATGTGTACTATTCGCGTAAACTCCAAACAAGACTTAAAAACTACTCTAAGACTTTCGGCTTTTCCACGATTATTTTTATCGATTTATTATTTCACAGGGTGATTGTAGACCTGACAGCTAACTTTGTATCCACCTCGCACAAGTGGTTCCAGCTGAGCGAGAATCGGTCTACAGGGTACGATGACTACTTCACCTGGCGGGCAAGCACCGAGTTTGATAGCAACGGCAACGACTCAACCCCCAAACCGCCTAATAAATGGGTAAATACCATTAAAAAACTTCACTCTGATGACTTAATTTAGACTTAAGTTATTCATCGAATGATAAGTTATTTAAAACTTAGTCATCAAAAATGTAATATAAATGTTTGTAAGAGACAACACAATGTATGAAGGGACAATTTCTTTTAGTAACATTCCTAACAAATGCATTTTGTAAAGAAAGTTGCAGTTTTTAAGTTATATTTTTTACTTTTTTTTCAGTACATAAATAAGTCAGTAATATATTATATCAGAATTAAGACTGACCAAGAAAAAATTTATCTTTTTCTTGGGGATTCTTCTTTTTTTTATCCTTATGAATTTATTATTTTTAGGTGTCAACTTTGAATGAACCCGCATGGACCCTAAGCAAGAAACGTGGCGAGTTCTACCTGCACCAATATGCCGCTGACCAAGCTGACCTGAACTTCCACAACCCTGCCGTTGTCAAGGAGTTTGATGCCGTCATCAAGATTTGGATGAAAGCAGGCGCTGATGGCATAAGGTATCGACATGCGTGCATTGATTTTTTTTTTCTAAGTATGTGACTTGACCATTGCTAATGGATATTCAATGGAGTGGCAACACTAAATTTAACACCACATCCTAGAAGTTGAGTTCTAGTAAATTCACAAGTAGTATAATATATCTACTCGGTACATGTCAATTGTTTCAATAAGCTATGTAATTGCAAAGAAAAACATTAAACAATTGGGTTAATAATGTACCCAAGATCCTAAGCCAAAAATTTACATCAAATTATATAAACAAAAGTCATTAAACTTTTGTTTTTTGAGTTGAGTAATTTACTATACACATTTAACTTATTACTGAGTTCACATAGTAGCTATATATACTACAAGTATTCCATCTTCTATCCAGATTGCAGAAAGCCCGTACCCTGGTAGTGAACAACACAGACGTAGCCAACGCCAATGAGCAGCCGAGGCGTGGTCGCGGGAGCGTGCCTGGGGCCGACCACACCCAATACGCCTTTTACCAGCACAAGTACACCGCCGATCTCCCAGCTCTGGACCAGCTATTTGCTCATTGGACGCATCTGGCCGATTCCTTCTACGCAACTCCGTCTGCGGGTGAGTTAGTAAAAATCTGCTGTAAGAAATACGTCCCTTGGCGAACAGTAATCAGTGGATGAAAGCCAAGACTTCTAATCAGTTTTGGTATGGTAGTTTTCTATTTATGGCAATAGTTTTTTACGTTATGAAAAAAAATATTCCTAGAAATTTATGTTGTTTACCATATTTAAAATTAAATCATTTTTTTTTCTACTAAAATTTCATTGTCCTGTATCCATGTGCGTAAATTATGTGTTATTATATGAGAACACTATTAAACTCAAATTCCTACTTCCAGGTGAATCGGTGTTCACGCTGGCTGAAGCGGAGCAACCCGAGTGGTTCCTTCTGGATCGCAACTCGACCTCGCTGCGACCGGCGTTTGCTGCTCCGCTGCCGATCATTGATGCGAATGCAGCTGCCGCTAGTCTCAATGAGCGGGTGACTCGCTGGCCACTTATTCAGGTAACACTTTAGTGCATTTTAACATGACCCACTTGTAATCGATTTATATAATAGCTTAACAATTTGTGTTATTTATCTCATAATAAAATGCATACTTCTTGCAGCTGAAATCCGAAGAACCAAGCGTTGAATTAGCAGCGTTCAGTATGCTACTTCCTGCTGCACCGGTTATAGCTATTGACCAGCTGCAGGGCGTTGAGAACGATACATCTGCTGTAAGTATTAATTAGAGTCCTAAAACTCACCAAAAAACCAAGCCGAATCTATTACTTCCCATTTAATCGACGGCCTGGTCAGTTTATACAAAGTATATATCTACTTGACACAAAAGAAATACGTTTAGAACTGTTTAATTTATTTTTTGACTGTATACTCCAGGTGGCGCTTATATCGTCTCTTGCGCCGCTCCGAAGCGATGCCAGCATTGAGCACGGCCTTTACAAGATCAGCGCAGTTCCCGTGGTCAATTCCACATCCACAATGTTGGCGTGTGCCAGGTAATATATTATGTTGTTGTTTTATGTGACTTATTCAAGGTACTAAGTAAAAGATTAAATGGGTTTCCTTGCATCGCATTAAGGACAGGAAGGGAGGCGTTCTGTATCAAGCAAACTAAATACTTTCGGTTGGGTAGAGCTCAGAAGGATAAACACTTTGTTTCATGAAATAAGCATACAAATGTGTTGCCCACGGAAAAAGCAAGGGAAACGTGATATCACATTTTGATTTACAGGTGGAAGACAGGGCACACTGGGTATCTGTCGGTCTACAACCCAGGTGACACAGCACGCGCCAACCTCACCGAGATGCCAGCGCTGCCTGAATCACTCACAGTGTACCATCTCTCTAGTACTGCACAATTTTACACAAAGTACGTATCACAGTGTATAAAATATTTAACAAGAAGTAGAAATAAATTTGTATTTTTTTTTTCTAAAATTGTTGTATTGTTGCTTTTACTAATATTATAAAGTTGAGTTTGGTTGTCTGAACGAGCTAATCTCAGGACTTAATGTTTGAAATTGATTCTTTTTGTGTTGATTGGTCCATTTATAGACCAATAAGAGCGAAGAAGAGAGGTTAATGTTGAATAAAACTATGGGAATAAAAATGTTGGGAAAACCGACCTCGTGTGTGTGTGTGACTTAACGGCTATAATCTATAAAGATAAGAAGGAGGGTTTGCAGAAGCAAATTTCGACGCCCTCAATAACTATTCTCTGCGGACAAAGTTGTTAGCACAGATAGTAATCTAAAAAAAGCAAACCCCGTCAGTGTTCTTTAAGTATGATTTCAATTTTAAAAAACCCAGTTTGCTTTTGTTTTCAGCTACACCATCAACACGGAGGTCGGTGTAGACAACATCCTGGTGCCATCCAAGGCTGCCCTGATACTGTCTTACGTACCGAAGACAAGTGTTGAACAATAATCTCTGAAATCTCAAAATGGTTACGGTTGCTTCCTTGCAATGGGATAAAAAAGCTTCCTGGAGAGTTATTTTCGCGTTCGCTTCTCGTATTTACGAATTATTTGCATTTCTTATTTCAATACAGTAAAAGTTTTGTGCATTGAAAACGTAGTTTTATTGTATATGCTTAGATTTTAATAATAAAAAAAAAATAGAAGGGCTTGTTGATCTAATGGTAGCAATGTTTTTCTAATAATAATTGGGTGTGGGTTTGATCCCCACTAGGGCCAACATCTTTCTCATCAATTTGTAATTTTTCTGCAACACATTGGATTTCGTCTGGAAATTTGGACATTAAATGTGTGGTAAAAGATATAAAAAAAGCTGTGAAGTTTGCCTGTTTCTTGATCTCCAAATATCCAAAAACAAACTAGTTCGACAGCGCATCACTATCATTAGAAAAATAAGACGCTCATTAAAAATCCGTATATTTCAAAAATCTTATATTTCGCATAGTTAACATTTTTAAAAGCATATATTTTTGTACAAACGTCCATAAACTATATCAATAAACGTTACACGATTTTTAATTATGTCCCGAAATTAAAAATGGCATAACTAGCTCTAACAATATACATAATGACAGTCAATTCCTATTTATAATATGTACTAGTTAGTGGCTTCATTGTGGTGATGTAATTTTAGATATATAATTTTAAATGGTTATGTACTAATTAATACCAAGAAATGATTTAAGACGGATTAGTTAGTAACAGGGCCTCAAGTGGCCTCTATTCACCTAAAGATCCCATAAGTAAACTTCGCATTCCTTCAAATATTCGTACGCTGGTAATCATGTGTTCGTTATTTTAAATGACAGTTCGACAGAATAACAGTTACATAAAGGATTAAAATCTATGAGAGAAACGACAAATGCGGCACGAAACAAATATCACTAGTTCGATGCCCAGGCATATCAAACAGTATAGAACGTAAGCGCAGATTAAACGCAACAAAAAGTCTTCCCAACTCGACGTACATTCGATGTGAAATTTGTTCGCTTTTCCTTCAATTTTCATTTGGACTGATTATATCGTAAAATGATTTCACTAGATAAAATAGCGCTAGAGTTAATAATGTTTCAAATATTAGCTCTATATAAATACAAGGAATCGACGCTTCATATATTGTGACGTTTGACATGTCATGAAACGTCAATTGAATAGAATTCGTTATCTATAGTCGGATATACTAAGTGTTGCCAGATTTCTTTAAACCTAAAAGTGGAATCTCCGAAAATTACAACGTAACTAGATTTAACTTTAGATAGTTGTTATTAGCATTATCAAAATTTAGCCAAAAATTATCACTTTCGCCTGGCTGCCTAGTCTAATCAGGTTATCTGCGTCGCGCTGCAGGTTTGGGCTTGTTGAATTGAAAGTTGGCGCATTTGGGAATATGTCTCTCGGCAGCGGATTGGTTAAAGCGACGGTTACAGTGAGGGCATTGCACATAGTCAGGGTTCTCAGATGGTGGTGGGGGCGGGAGATCGCTGAGTTTTCCTAGAAACAGTCGAATAAGTTATTAAGGAAGTATTTTATCTTATTATTTAACAATACAAGTATTGTGCCACAAAATAAAAATGGTTCTCTAAATAAAGACACTTATGGCCTATGGGTAAGCAATTTATGAATATATAGGGTTAGTGAAATATTATGTCTGTGTAATACTAAAAAATATTTTAATTAAGCAAAGTTAAATACGATGTTAAGGAACATAATTAGTGTATCATTGTTATAAGTTTGAAAGTTACCTCCAGCGTTTAGGTGTGCCTGCACCTGCTTTGCCGCGCGGATAGCCTGAATGAACTCCTCGTGCTTTTGCCGCCAATTGCCGTTCAGCGGCTTGCTCAGCTTCGTCGACGAAGTGGTAGTGCCCTTTCGTAACTTGCCGATAAAAGGCTCTGCTTCTGTGCCCTGTAGTCACATTAAAAATAATAATGAAAATTTAAAAAAAGAGTATAGGAAAAAAACTGACTGAAATGGGACTTGAATCTATTTTCGAAGATAGTCTAAGTCTGCCTCTCTTAAAATTAATTCCTATCCTATAAACTGAGACCTTTTTCATATGTCGATAATGTTAATGGTTTTTGGTGATAATATTGAGTTTATGCTAAATAGGGCAGAAACTTTTAAAAATTTTGATAAATCTAAGCGCAAACGCTGAACACAAATATGTAGTTCTTGCCTTATAATTTTCTGCATCAGTTCCCTGAGTAGCATGAAAAGAGATAATGATAGATTAGACGCTGAGTTGATTATTTTCAGGAACGACTTTTATTCAACATTACGAACTAATTAAAATTATTTATATAAAATAAAAATAAATAAACAAGTCTCAAGAATGAATTTAAAAAGTTATATATATGTCAATTGTCAAATTTTCTTTAATTGACATTTCCTAAACTGACACATGATATGATGTTTGTGTTGTTATTTATATAGTGTTTCGAATCTTAAAAAATTTTAGCGATTTTTTTAGTACTTTTAAAAAGACTGGATATAATCTTGACCGTAGTGATCAGTCTTTTTACATTCGCTTCATGTATGTAAATTCAGGTTTTTGTGTTTCTGTTAAGTCTGACTACCTAACTACGGGGACATGGATTTGTTTACCACGAAGTAAGCTAGTTATTACTTTTTATTCTTATACAATTTATCTTGTTTTCACACTTAAAAATTCCAACTTTTACAGAGAACGGGCTGTGAATTTTTCTCAGGCAGAGAAAAACAGATTTCAAAATCTACTTCAAAAGTATAAAGATGTTTTGTTCTGTAAAAAAACTGATCACGCCAGTAACACATTGAAAAGCCGGACTTGGAATGCTATTTATGAAGAATTTAATGCAGGAGTAGAGCAAACTAGAACTCTAAGGCAACTCAAAGCCAAATTTGACAATATGAAAAGACGGAAAGTAAGGGGAAACTATTTGTTTGTAACTTCTATTAATATAAATCTAAGGACTTTTTTGTTTTAGGATACCAATCAGAACAGACAGTCACATTTAAAATTAGGGAGAAGTCCACCATCTCCATCTCGAGAGGATAAAGAATGGATCTGTCAAGGAATGCCAATGTCAAAAGAAGATTTACCAAATGTAGTTGATGATGACTACATAGAACAGCCAGTAGATGTAGTATGCATAATTAAGATAAAATCAAACTAGATACAAAACATAGTAAAATTCAGCTTTATGTTGTTTTGAGATTCTGAAGCATACTATTAATTTTTTTCAGCAAAGATTAAAAAGTCTTAATCTTACCTCTTAATGTTGCCACTATATTATACTAATATTAAGAAATGTTCATTGTGAAAGAGTAACAAACATCCATACATTTTCAGATTATTAACATAAGAGATGGCGACGTGTTTGACAACCAATCACCGGCATCATTGCCGAGAAGCTCAAAGTCAAAGGCATTGCGTTAGTAATAGATAAATGAAACTATTTAAGTTTGCATTGTTGTAACCATCTCTACTATTTGACTAAATTATAAACCAAAAGAAATTAAATTGGTTGCATATTCTGCATACACAAGTTACTTTGTATAATAATTCAATCTTCAAATTTAAATATTAATTTAATCTTTTGCAGGTGTACGTAAGCATTCAATCGGCCGATATCGGATGTCAGAAATGAAAATTGCTTTTTTAAAGAAGCAAAGAGAACAGGAAGAACACATGTTTAATTTAAATATAAAACACATGGTAGCAAAACGTAGAGAAGAAAATGAACTGCACGAGTTAAAGAGAAAAAAAATACTTTTGGAAATCAGTTTATTAGAGAAACAGATAGACACTAACATATAAATTGCTGGAAGTAAAGTAAAAGTCATTCACTTTCAAATTAGAAGAAATTGAAGAATGAGCTTATCGACAATGCCTCCCATATGTGGAGTTGACTATTCAGATTTTTATCACCTTGGCTTGAGGTGATAAAGACGCAAGGGAAAGAAAAGAAAAAAAGAAATATGCAACAAGATATACTGACTAGTATTGCTGTTTTCTTAAAACAAATATCTATGTTATTCTGAATTAAAAAGGAATTGGTTTTATTCAATTCTATTCTAAAACTATTACAGATTTAGTAGTTTCTTCTAGCAGACAAATTAAGCAATAGACATTTATTATTAGAGGCCATTGGGGGCAACCCTCAACTAAGTGATATAGAAGTTACAAATTATGTAGTGAAAAACATAATTACCGCGAGCCGATGCTTGAGCACGTCGAAGGGCTTGCGTTTCTTAGTGTGAGTCTTCCGGCAAATGTCCTGATGCTTGGCGAGCCGGTCGGGCGCAAAGTGTCTTCCGCACACCGTACACGTATCCGCGCTTCCGCTATCAACGCCCGCGCTTGCGCCTGCGCCGCTCCTGCTGGCTGACGTGACGCCCGCCCGGGGTTTCTTAGTACCACCGGACACTTGAGGACTCTGTTATTAAATATTTACGCATGTTCATATACATTATTAAAAATATATAGAGTATATTATTAAATATATATTTCTCTCGGTATAATACGTATTTTAAATTTCAGGAAAGACTTAGCCAATTTGTACAATTATTCGTTGTAACTTTTAGAATCGGCTCTAGAGTAAAGTTACGTAAAGTGTGGTGGTAAAAAAAAAACAATATATTTACCACTGGATTTCTCCTTGGCACCTGAAAACAAATCAAACAATAAAACAAAAGTTTTTACCGATTAATTCTGTCATTGATATCTTAATTTTTGTTCAGTTCAAGGATAGATATAGTTTTACACGGTCAGCCACGTCTTTATTAAACTTCATATCAATCGAGTGATTTGGACTTAAAAGAGAAACATAGTTGGAAGTTACTTACAGGGTTCACTCCTCGCTGCATGACCCCTCGGGGTTTACTGCTCTCCGACACCTGATCAATTTAGGCCATTTAATTTATTTTCATCGTTTACTAAAAAATTTCATCTACACCAACATTTATTTACATTTTGATAACTGACAGTCTGATCATGGAATGATATGTCAAATTTTGAAATAGAAAAAGAGGTCGAGTATCAATATTTTTACGTTAATTAAATTTGTCAAAATTGTGTAACCAAGGCTATATATCTATCAATGATAAATTTCAGGAGAAGATAATTTGATAGTCTCGTTTTACAAGACGAAAGAAGCACTTACTACATTTTCACTTGTCGTTTTCTTTGGTGGTATTGCACTAGGTTTTGGAGTAACTTTACCGGCTTTCAAAGACTGTTGACCGGGACTTCTGCAAGCAACGAAAAATAATAATATCTCCGTTTATAATATAGGGTTACATTATTTCTTCATTTATTCTATCAAACAAACAAGTAAATCTGAAAACCTAATAACAAAAAACATGATTTTCTATAAGGAGGGAAAAAATGCGCAATCAACTTGGGCGAAAATGAATTTGTGTAAGAATTATGCTAACAATTTTCGACCATGATGCCCTAGATTAACATTTTTAAACTATGAAAATATAAATAACTCGAGTCATAAAAATTGCAGTTAGGCTACTCTGCCTCTAACGGTCTCAGACAAATGAAGTGCAACGAACATGGTGAAAGAGTATGTAAACATGACCTACCTTTTTACAAGCTTATTGGAATAATCGGGTGTTCTCGGACTGGCGACAGGCGCCAGAGCTTCAGGGAAAGTTTCGTTCTCCAGCAGTTCGTTGTCTAGTCGATCCAAATTGTGCTTCACGTAATCCAATTCGTCTTTCGAGGCCTTTTCACCGTTGGTACTTGGCTGTCAAAACAATTTAATTTGACAATAATATTAGTTCCGTTTATTTTTTGGAAAACGTTTTGGAAATTAAAGATGAGTAGACTAACCTCCTTGTGATTATTAAGATCGATTTCATGATTGTGGTTGAGATCTCCTGAACCGTTTATTATATTGTTGTTGGTTTTATGTACCTGAAATAATTTACACATACATAAAGCTATATTATTATTAAATACAATTAATTACAATATTATCAAAAACTAGCATTACAAAAGAACATAAAGAAATTATCCTTTTCCTGTTTACTGTATGGAAAACCAAGAAAGTGCAAGTTACTTAGAAGTAATTATAATTCCTTGGAGTTTAAACTATGTAATACATGATGTTCCTCCCTTGAAGATACTTTATCAGGCAAAGGCCTGAATAAGAAAGAATTATGTTGTATACATATAAATATACTCCTTTTTTATAACGTATCGCGTTTTAAACCGTTAAAGTGTTTTATTTAAATGTGTACTACTCGCGTAAACTATAGACAGTATTTATGTATGTATTGTTTAAGCGTCAGTTAAGCGGTAAACCGCAACAGGTCCGCGACGAGAGATAAACTTGCGGTCCGCGGTCAAACCAGAACACAACAATAGGTTCCTGCAGGTTACAATGTCAGCGAGGACGTCTTACATTACGTAAAGACAATACGACGTTGTCAAGGTCTACGTATCTATCTGTACATGTTACAGGCAACGGGACTGCAAAGGGGGTTTACTTCAGCGAACTACCGCCACTAAAATAATAATTAGGTATATCATGGAGATGATCACACATATTACCAAAGTCCCAGTTGATATGAAGCCAACCGAACCGCAGACCATAGGATCTATAGTCGAGTCTTACCTACTCTATACTCTTACCTTACTACTCTATCATCGCGACCACTAACGTCTCGATTATAAGTAGTAGGGTAGATTTAAGTCCTTTACAGTCGTGTGAGAAAATGCATTTTTAAATAATTTAATTAAGAGATTTAAGTTTTTTTAGGAATTTATTGACACGAATAGAAAAATGAAAAAATCTATTTAGATTAAACAAATACAGACATTACTCGAACCGGCATCCACAGTGTTCCGTTAAAACAAAAAAACCCTCCAAACTAATATAATATTAATTTAAAAGACCTTTTACTCACCTGACTGATCTGTTTCTTAACACTATGCGAGCTGGTGGTTCCAAATGTACGCAGTGAGGACTTTTTCTCCACGGCGACTTTGGACGTGGTATTGCTCACTTTGCTGTATCCGTTCGGTATGGCTTTCCTCGGTTGCGCCTTCTCTGTGTTTTGTATGGGTTGGAGAGGGTAACTCTTGTCGATTCCGGCTTTGGTGCGACGCTCCTCGAACATTTGACGTACCTGTTGGATTAAAATATTAACTAAATAGCTGTGAAGTTAATTCAGGACAGTCAATTCTTACTTAAAAATTGTTTCTTTTTTTAATTAAAAAAAAAACGATGTCACCGGTGGGTGTCGAACCCTACACTTCCGACATTCGTTCAAAAATTTATGATGGAATTTGTTCCACAAACCTTTCCCGGTGGATTTGAAATGGGAGGAGATGGTGTGCTGACGGTGCCATTGCTTGGTGACTGGCGAACTCTATCTAATGCCCTGGCCTGCTGAGCTACGTACAACGAAGCTATTTTTAACTCTTTCTCTTGCATCTGCTTTTGTTGGAACCGTGCCTGGAAAAGATTGAAAGACTTTACTGAAAGGTCCACGTATAAAAATTATGGTCGGCGAAATTCTGTGCCGCCTATGCCTTTAACATAATTAAGTAGTTTTTTCTGTAAACCTCCTAAAAATGTAAAAATATGTTAGATCGAATGTGTAATTCTAAAAAATTTTGAACGTTCACGATTGCTGCAACTGTGGGTAATTTCTAAAAAATGTATTCAAATAAAAACTTCTCAGGCATTTAGTAGCACCTGCAGCCACTGCAACGCATTCGAAACATCGGTACGTAGTTAAATACTTATATTTTAAATAAGTTAACATTTTGTTTTTTAATAAAAAATCAAAAAAAAAGTTTAAAAATTATGTATTTTAAGTTACCGTTTAGTTAAGACCTTTAACGGTTTCAGTGTTAACCGTTAAAAAGCGTTTTATCTAAATCTACTTGCATTTGTAAACTACAGAAATTACTTTAAAAATATATTTAAATATAATGATCCTAACAGTTGAAAACGCAAACTTATTTGTTAATTTGTTCTAACTATACTTTTGTTTTACCAACTAATCAATCAATATTTACGGAAATATTGAACAAGACCTTTTGTCGCTTAACTAGGTTAAATCGGTATTTACTAGCAATAAAAAAGTCTGAATATTTAATATCTCAGGTAGGAAGCAAGGCCAGACGACGATCGCCATTTGCTTAGAAAGGTCGACTCCTACGCATCGTTGCACATGGCATGACAACCTGTTCCTCCCGCCTCCATTGTTTCAGGTTCTTGTTCCTTCTTACTTCACTTGAAGGTCGTGAGATTAGTAGACCACAAACGAGATAGTAGATCAAGTCTACTTATATTGTTATTACTATATGTATCCTTATTTAACTATTAAAAATCTTTGCTTGACAAATTGACAATTGACAATCGTCAATTGTAATCGTCGTAAGTCATTGTAATGTTTGTTATTAAAAAAAGCGTCTTTGTTAAGAAAACATCCGTTGGCAGAAACATTAGAAAAAAATCTTTACTTTTTATACAACAAATTATTTAAAGGTTTACTAAGTTATACACAATATTATATGTTTAGTGGTTCTACCAAATCATGTCATTAACTTGAAAAAAGAAATGGTGACACTGTATGGTTAATCAACGGTCTCGCGTTTCTCCCCACCGGGCCCACTATGTTTTTAAATAATTTATTTTTTTTGGGTGGTAGGAATATCGAAAATCAGTACGGGTCACAAACCAACGCCTACAGACGGAAAAGCTGTGAAGTTTAATCGCGGTTTCAGTTCGTGGATTTCCGAATATCCAAAGCTAGAGTAGTCGACAACCCATATTCTTTAGATTCATTAAGTCACTGTCCTAACATAAAAATTAAAAATGGTTATATTCTTCCCCCCTATTAAACATTAGTAATTGTGTAGCATATGAAAGTACCAAAAACTTCCCACAGTCCAAAATGACGCAATGTTGGCACACCTGTGTTTAATTAAATAGTTTACGAGTGTCGTATAATTGTAACGCATGTATGGATAAGATATTTCTTAACTGAACCTGTGCTGCATTTATCAACTCGTTTCGTTTATTAATGAACACAATTAACACACGTATATTGTGATAGGAACTTTTCTAGCAACAAATACTCTGCCACTAGTAAATTAAATAACGCGTCCTGATTATAGACGACGTGGAAAGTGTTTCAATCAGTATTATGTTTAAATACTGTCTATATTTAGAGTAGTACAATTTTAAAATTATCGCGTTGTTAAACCGTTAAAGTGTTTTATTTAAATAAGTATTATGTTTGTTTGAATATCCAAAGCCAAAAAAGTCGACGGCACATCTGGTTACATTCTGCTTACAAAAACAAATGAATTTCCTTATTTGTTATCCTCCTTTATAAAATAAAGGTTTTCTTGAGATTCGAACCGAATGAGGCACAGAAATAGCTTTTTAGGTTTGGTCAATCTTACAAGTAAATGATGCCCATGTGGACAAAAATAAATATTTACTATGCGTTGCTGTAATTGTATCTTGTGCTGTGGTAAAAAAAAAACGAAATTTGTGCCTCTCTGCTAAGACATGATTGTATAAAATTGAGGAATATTTCCCTTTCTACATTGTATCATACAGTTCAAATTTAAATAAAACATAATTATGTTTGAATTTATTTCTTATAAAGTAAAATTGGAAAATAAACAAATGAAAACTTCTTTTTTAAGATCTTTTTAAACGGCCACAGTGGCAGTTGTTGTAAGCAAGTTTCTCGTGAAATTAATTATTATTAGTAGACTGTGACCAAGCTTTTCATTAAGTCAATGCTACGTGTAGTCATTAGTCGCGAGTGTGTTGTATGCCTAATTAAAACTGAACCGTGCAATCGTATCGGGATTACATTAAAGTACATTACATTGATTGGATTTTATTTTTTATACGAATAGATTTTCCCTTTGTTTTTATTGTGGGGTTAATGACTTGCTTTCACTGTTACGTTGGAAATCTTTCTATTATTTTGCAGGGTACGTAGGTTTATAGGACCAATACAACTTACATAAGTTTCAGTTTTAAAAGGTAAACTCCATTTCCTATCTATATTATTGTAACTTATAACAACATGTCTTTTGAGAAACATAGTAATTCAAAGAATATGTACGTAAATAATCATTTTGTAATAATAACAAATATTGTAGGCGGATAATTTATAGGACAATAAAATGCAAGTACTCTATAATACATCAATATTGCATTGTTAGTTTAAAACATTAACCAAGGACGTTTAAGAAGAAAGACTAAATATAATATACAGTGAAATAAATATTATAAATTTGAATATCGTTTTGTGTTTTAATTAAGCCTATACAAGTTTTATTACCGTCACTAAGCTTAAAGTTATATTCCATTAAACGTAAGATTTTACAGAAAAGAGAATTTATTGAGGCCGATTCAAGTTCAAGTAAGCATTTAAATGTCTTTATAGATCATCTCCATATTCACGTCAAGGATTACGTCTCGTGTGGCCGATGCCCATAAATGGCAGGTTCGCGACTCGTGACTCATCTGTCAACGACCTTACGCCTTACTGCGCATGCACATAGAAACGAGTTTCACTTTGATTTTTAGCTCGCGTCGCAATTTTTAGTGCGACGCCATTATGGATATTTATTTATCTTATTACTAACACGTTTTAAAATTAGGACCAAAAAAGATTATGAATCACCAGTAAAAATGGAAAGTAACCATGTTACTTACAATATTAGGTACCTACTTGCCTTTCAACGAATAAGGAATCAAGAACTAATAAAAGGCAAAATAACATCGAGATACCTCCAAAAAATACAATTATCAATGGTGAAGGTTAAAACGATTGTTCCTTAATGTTATATTAGACAGAGTTCCTGGAGTCAGTGTAACGGTAGCAACGTACGGTTCCAACGTATTTCTAATCAATTTATTATTTTTCTGAAACACGTTGGACTTTCGAAAATCTGAATATCTAATAGGTGGTAGAAACATTGAAATTCCGCCCGGATCACGAACCAGAGCTTAGAGATGAAAAAGCCGTCAAGTTTAATCGCCTTTCGGTTTCAGTCTATGTATTTGCGAATATACATAGCAAAAATAGGACGACAGCGCATCTTGTTTAGATGTTATATGGCTGGGGTACTTAGATGTTACTTGTACATAAGTGTTCCCAATATTTATTATATAGCCAAGACATGCAGATGAATTAGAAGTTTATCTCAGTTCTTAATCTATACTATGTCTTACGACGAATGATGCCATTTATAAGATTGACACATTCGCCTTAAAGCGACTCGCCCTTAGCCCCCATTTCGATTCACGCCGCACACCACTCGGAAATAGTGTCAGTGTTTGAAAACATTCGCGAGCTAGTTTCGCATTCAATATGCGAGGCGTGAGTCACGAGGCCGTATGCTAAACTTCAAGCGATGTGATGTAACGCCCGCCTACGAGCGCTGACTAACTTAGCACTACTTGGACCGAAATAGCTGTATTGAGGAAGAGCTGGGATACGAATATTAATCGCTGTAATTAATTGTATCACTCCATCCATTGGAATAATACACATTTAACGGTTTAAAACGCGGAAGGTATTAGTTATTTACAATTTTTTTAAACAGCAGCATCTGAAATGTATTTAACTACACTTTTCGGAAAAGCATCTATCTATACTAATATATGAAGAGTTTGTTTGTTTGAACGCGCTAATCTCAGGAACTACGGCTTTGAATTGAAAAATTCTTTGTGTCAGAGCATTTATCGAGGAAGGCTATACAACAAACGCTCTGTGCGTAAAAGAAGCGAAGATACAGCGGGAAATGTGAACAAAACGGGGGAAATTTTGCATCTCTGTGGGTTGCTGATGCGTACGCTGCGAAAACGGATCAAATTATACAAAAAATTTTGTATACGAGAATGATTCTTCTATAAATAATTTAAAAAAAATGTCCGCGACGGTATATATCTATCTCCTAAGATGAACTCGCAAGAACGGGATCCGAACGACCGCGACGGGACGAGGTCGATGTCGTGTGTGAACAGCTTTTTATAAAGATATTTATAAATTTAATTTTGAGGTTTGTAAAAACAAATTTGGATACCCATAATAACGATTCTACGCGGACGAAATCGCTGGCACAGCTAGTATTAGATAAGTACCGTTGTTTGTGCAGTTTACGGGACAAAAACATATCGGGTATACCTATAATGTAAATAGTAATAAGTATTGTTAATAAACACAAACCACTATCGTTGATAACATATGACTCATGAGTTACAATGAGTAGATAAACTTAGTGGTCTAACTTTGGTATGAAAACACCATTGTTCCTACCGCCCAAGGCCAATGACAAATGTTTCGTAGTAATATGACGTCAGAGCATTTAGTATTTCAAATTGCATTTGAGTTTTGGAACATATTAATATTAATATAAACTTGAAAAGTTATTCTTTAAAGACATAAGAAGTCTTCTTTCACTATTCTCTTA